TGATAAGCTAAATTATGCATATCCACTACATCTACTCTATTAACTTTAATCAGTTTATAATAATCAAAAGAGTTCATAAGGGAAATTAAATTGGCAATAACTGACTGCTTCCACTGGTATCAAAATGTCCTAAAGGTTTCGAGTAAGGAAATCACAATCTGTAAGTATCTTGATTCGTCGAATTAGAGTATGCACAAATATTAATAAAATAATAATAATTGATTTTTTTAATTTTATTTAAGTATACAGTAATACATTTTTTGTCCCAATAAAACGAGTGTTATAGTTTTCTGGTGAGAGAAAAAAGCTCCACAATAACAGCGGAAGGGCCGATTGAGAAACTTGATGATAGTGGAAAAAGAAAGTGTGGCGTGGAAATGTCATGCCATATAATCAACAAATTATACTATTTTTTGGGAGCCGGATCTAGTTTATAAATTTACTGTCAGAATCACGTAGATTTTTTTTTTTTTTTTAACTACCTAATCTACTCATTATCCCCTCCCCACAAACTCATCCTAAATACCCTGCCCCAGCCTGGTGAGAATCGAACTCGCAACCACTTGCGAGAGAGCCCTACCACTAAACCACTGGGCTACATTCGATTCTCAAAATCATATAGATCGTTTATTAGAAAACACGTTGATGTTTTAAGTTGCTTTTAATTCCAAAATTGATGCTTTTAATCAGTTTCTAGCCCAAGTGGTAGCTATACCTTATCAGAATGAATTTCTACATATTCTAAATTTGGACTTCTTCATGTCCATACAAACCAACTACATGTGGACATTAAAGAATAGATCATAGATGTTATTACAAATCACTTGGTGAGATTGATTTGGTAGGAAGTGCAGTGGATGAGGAGACGACCAACTATGATGTTTGAAGAATGATGCAAGTAAAATTAAATATCTTGATGATGCTTGGGACTCTGTACATTAAGATGGTTTGAATGATGAAGAAACAATCCACCCAATGTTTGGACACATTGTTAGGATGAAGAAACATAAAGCTATTATTGGGGGGACATTTACAGTGATATTTGTGCCGAGGGGATTCTTATTATATAACGTTTTTCTTTTTAAAGTCGAGCATCTTTTTAAATTTTCATCTCTAACAATATTTAAATTTTGCTGGGTGTTCAAAGTTGGACTTATTATATAACGATACTTCTGAAGTATAATTAAAATTAATTACTTACTTTTCTTCTTTGTTATATAAACTCGATCGTTAATAGCAATAGGGAAAAAAAATAAATGATAAAAAAATAAAAAGAGCAATCACAATGTAGATATCATGGCCATCTTCTTCTACAATGGCGGAGTTAGGGGGGATGGAGGGGTGCGATGCTCAATTTTTTGTAATTAATAGTGATGTCCTAAATTTTTAATAGAAAATTTATATTTTATAATTTTCGCAACCCCTACATTAATTTTCTAGCTTATTAATAAGTTTTTTCTAAATTTCACACGCCCTATCTAGATTTTCTGGCTATATATGATAGTCGCTAATTCTTCCATTTCACCTCTGAATGGGGAAAAGAAAACCCAAAATGTTGGTTGTATCAATCAATTACAACTTCTTCTATCAATAATTCCTCTGTAGTTTTATTCTTATTCAGCACTCAGCAACTTCCGCAGTTCTTCTTGTTGCCCTTCATGACCTTGTTTTAGTTTTTGTTAATTCACTTGATTTAAGATCAGTTCAAAAAATATACAAAATAGTTCGAGTACAAGGGATGCAACTGAAATCAAATATCTATATATATTAAGGAAGAGTTTTCAATTGAACACATGACGTGAAATTAGATAGGGTAATCCACATGACAAAAAGTTAGATAGCCAAGTCCACATGTCGCAACATCACTCCATCATCTAATGGTAATCATCATCTAATGTAAAATTATAGTAGATAAAACTTAACTAACCGAGAGTTTAATTACTACCTCTAACATAGCGTGGAAGTCTCTTTCTGCCCATTTGTTTTTGTTTTTCTTTTTTTTAAAATTTTTTTTAATGAAACATAGAAGTAAAGTGGCAAGGGCACATAAGACAAGAATGACCCGATTTGATTAGTGGTCATGGTGAGAATAATAATTAGCCTATGCTTTTAGTCATTATGGCCGATCACAAATGAGTACAAATTAACCTCCCAAAAACTTTTTCCTACTATTTGGCATTAATCCCCCAATTACACCCCCAACAGATTTTAATACAAGAAACATCTAAACACTAGATTAAGTAGAAAAAAAAACTTGTGACTGCGGTCTTCTTTTTGTGATGAAATTAATATAATTTTCTCTGTTACCAGTTAGGTAATAATTTGAGACTTTTGGTGGTTCTTGAAAGATATTTGCACGGGACTCAACCAAAACACACAAAACAAAGAACATGTTCTGAAATAATTGTCCAATTTAGATTTTTATTTTTAGTTCAAATCATAGTAACACTAAAAATCTAAATTGCACAATTATTTTAGGACAAAAGAAATATAACTTTTTTTTTCTTCCGAAATAGATCATTTAGCTAAAGTAGAGTGACGTAATTTGATGAATTAATTTCAAATGATTTGTTCTTGTGTAGCTATTGATAGAGAAACAATGATCAGAGAGTTCAATCTGACAAAATAATTTCCATAGCTGTGAAGACAATATAACCAAGAATGAATGATACAAACACTATATTATAGGAAAAATATACGAACAAATTTTTAAACAAAGGTTGCAAAAGGTATACAGAGATAGATGAAAAATAAAGATAAGTATATAGAAAGAAATAATGACAAAACTTTTTTTATGAGAGGAAGAGATTAAAACATATGACACGAGTAGAAATATTCAGGGAGATCATTATGAAAAAAATAAAAAAAAAATATTTTTTAAAAAAGATACAAAGGTGATCAGAGAGTTCCATTTGACGAAAAAATTTCCATTGAATCCTACACATGGAGGTAAAATATGTCAAAAAAAAAAAAATTAATAGTAGAAGAAAATGAGAAGTAGACTTGTGTAGCGATTGAGTGTTATTTTTTCCGAATATTAACAGTAAGTATAGTTGTAATGAGAAATATAGACAATAGGTTAAATTGGATGATTTTGAATATTTTATTTATTCCAAATGTACTTAAAGTAACAAAATACGTTGGCATTAAAAATTAAAAAATTAAAATTTATATCATTTATATTATTTTTTTACATATATCATTTTCTAAAAAATGTCATATAACCGTTAAATCATTATGTTCATATATAATTGAAAATAATTATTTGGAAGAAACGTTTATGTAGAGAATAAGAAAATATGAAAAAAGACCCCGAGTTAATTGAAATATTACAAGAAATGAAACTTTAAGACATGTCATTAAATCTAGAAAAAAAAGGTAAAGACTATGCAACTAAGAAAAAATTATGCAAACATTAAATCATAGGAAAATATACAATAAACTTCTAAACAAAGATTACAAAAGGTATATTTATAGATGAAAAATAAAGAATTTGAAACAGAAATATTTATAGAAATTATTATGAAAAATTAAGAGAACACTTTTAAAAGACATAAAGCAATAAATCATTAAAATTAAAAAGATGGATTAGTTACATTGGATGATTTCAAATATTGAATTTTATTGCATATATAATTAAAATAACAAAACACATTGACATTAGAAAAATACACAATTGTAATTTATATCATTAATATTAATTTTAACATATACCACTCTGTCGGAAATGTCATATAATCGTTAAATCATTAAACTTATATATATCTTGAACAACACGTACAACGTGCGGGATAAACACTAATATACATAATATCACGCTTGTATTGTATGTACATTTTGACGTATCTTCTCCTTAGTCCTAAATTCTAATAATTATATATATAAGACATAAATTACTATTAAATTTAATTTAAATTTGTACTTTAAATTTGTACATCAGGTACTTTATAATTTAGAAAAAGCCAAAACTGAAGAAAACATATTTATCTCAACTTATTACGAAGTTACTACAATCTAAAAAGTGTGACTGGAATCGATTTTCAAACATGAGACGACGAGATGAGATGACCATTCATAGTCATTGGAAAATAAGATGACCATCCCATTGTTTGCCACGTGTCACTAGACAATCACCTATTCACCTTCTTTGACTCGGCGAAATAGTACAGCCAATCACATTCACAAGTTTACAGTCTGCACAGCGCCCACAGATGATTGCACCACTCTAGAAAGTGAAATGACCGGTCTGTCCTTATACCTCCTAAACCAACAGCTTAATTCAATCGTAGTTGTTGTCAATTATAGGCCCAAATGTGTCCACCCGCTTTACTATTTTCAGACAGCCGGTCCACAATAATTTGTGATACCTATCTTTACTCTTTTAAGTCCAAAAGTCAACCCCCCAATTTCCCCCCCTTTTACCGATTTTCTCCCTCTTCTCTCCTGAATTTCCACCTCGATTTTCACTCTCGATCCTTCAATTGTTACCGGATTCTTTCGATTCGTGTTCTCCGCCATCGATGGATACCACTTTTATCTTCATCCATCGAAGGGATCGATTTCTAGGGTTAGGGTTTCTGTTTTTCTTTTGAATCTTCCATGGGATCCCTTTTAATCCATTAGTTTTCTGTGTAAATTAAACATTTTTTCCGTCTGATTTTCTCTTTTAATTTATCATTTCCGCTAATTTTATCGAGAATTTCCCACTTTTGGAATAATGAATTTCCATTAAATTATAGTATTTGAATCTCAATAATATCGTCCGATTCTCGTATTCGGAAGATCTGTGAATATTGTTTCTGGGTTTTGCTTTAAGGCTAATTTTCTGGGCTTGGCGGTAATTTGTAAAAAAAAGGGGTTAATTTTGGGGATCTGGGGTTAGGGTTCAAGTCAATTTTTGGGAATTTTTAAAGATCGAATTTTGGAGCTGTATTTTTCCCAGCTGGTTGATTCTTTTGAGCTTGTAAATTACGAGATCTGCTGCTTCATTTTGGCGAAGAAAGTGTTTCTTCTCCTAATAAGGTACGCAAAAATCTTTCTTTTTTCATATTTGAATTAGTTACTGACAATTCTGGGAATATATTGTTTCGACTTTTGTTAAATTTTTCTAGAAAATGTTGGTATTTGTTTGCTTATTCTAATATTTTAAATTTTAGGGGAACATAATAATGGCATTCCTTTTCTGCTATAAACTGTGACACTCTTTCTGTTCTAAAAATCCCTGATTGCCACATGTCCTTCTTAAGATTCTATGTCCCATCAGCAATAAAGAGTGTGCTCAAAATTATTTTTGGCCCCATTTACCATTTTAGAAATTACCTTACCCAATTAGTCTTTACAATTTATTAATCTGATTTGACAGGTCTAAGAAAAGCATTTATATGTGTTTAAAAAAAAAAAAACCTGTGAAGCTTGGCAGAAATCGTAAATCATAGCTTTATATGCCAGTTCTGTTTCATTTTTCAGCAATCCTTGTCATTCAAAGGAACTTGAAATTTCATATGATCTGATAAATTTGTGAAGACTTGTCACTGAAGCTACATGCTTTTTGTTTTGGTATTGAATTGTTGACTGTTGTTGTTTGTGAAGGAGTTCCATGTAAATGTAATTGGGTTATTAAGGCTTGCTAGAAAGATTAATTTTCCGGACCAGGCATCGTTATTGGAGCTCTTGTACTCATAACTAATCTGTTGATTGCTGTGGGAAGGAAGACATTGTTTTAGTAATATGAACTATGAAGCAGTGATTCATAACAAATGTGCTACAAGGATTATGTGAACAGTTATTTTGGTCTTGTCTATCTGTCGGGGACAACATTTGCGCAACTTGTGCTATTCTTCTAAGATGGTCTAACTTTCTTTCAATTATTGTCTGCAGTTGAATATGTTACAGAAGCGGGCCCTTGAAGAGGAGGTATACAATGTCTATACTAAGCAACCAAGACATTTAGAACCCAGTGATGAGGGGATTTCAGTCCTGGAGTTTTCTTCTCTTCACACAAGTAAAACTGAATGTGATGGAAAGCCAGATGGTGGCTTTCTTTCTCAAGTGCAGGCCTGCGATAAAACTGAGGGGTTTACACCTTGCTCCATTTCCAACTTTTCAGTGATTGTAAGTACTACAAGTGAAGAAGATTTTCCTTCCAGTCTAGTGCCGTCTCCAGGTCACTGTGATTTTGAGTTTCCAGCTACCACCATTATCCATAGCAGAGAAGTATATTCTTATCTTTTTGAAAATCCTCCACAAAAGCTGGTTCCTGTTGGAAGGGATTTTCAAGCAGAATTGCCTACGTGGGTTGGCCGTGGCAGAACTATTTCCAGTTCTGCTTTGACAGAGACTTCAGAAATGTTGAATATAGTTTCGGAGTCAATAAACTCAAATTCTGGTGATCATTTAACGGATGGAGATAAATTTATTGGATCTTGTATCATTCCCATGCCTGATACACCCATGTGTGTAGATGCAGAGAACATGGTTGGAGCAGGAAGAATTCCTTGTTCCTGCGATGACTTGGGATCCATTCGATGTGTCCGGCAACACGTAAGTGAATCTACAAATGAAATTAGGGAATGCCTGGGTGAGGAGGCTTTCCGCAATTTGGGATTTTGTGACATGGGAGAGGTAGTGGCTGAGAAATGGAGCAATGATGAAGAGGACTTATTTCATGAGATTGTATTCAGGAACGCCGCATTTAGGAGGAACTTTTGGGATGAGCTTGCTTCTGAATTTCCGTTAAAGACCAAAAAGGAAATCTTCAGCTACTATTTTAACGTTTTTATGTTGCGGAAACGGGCTGAGCAAAATAGAGTTGATGTCCTGGATATTGACAGTGATAATGACGCGTGGGAGGGAGTCCATGGTTCTGCTGATGATATCATTGAGAAGGTGGATCCTTCAGATGACTCTGGAGATGAATCACCTAATCAAGAAGATGATTTTGGTTGTGGTGTGTTTTATGAAATCAATGGTAGTAAAAGTAATAATGAGGTTTTTACCTTGAGAACTTCTGGGTATGAAGCACATGAGAACCTTGATAAAAATAAATGCACGGCTCATATGTCCGAAACATGTTTTAGTAATGTGTTCAAAAATGGGAGTTCTGGTACATTATGTCAGCAACTTGACCGTTGTGTTCCTGATGAGCTGCATAGACATTATGTTCAAAAAGTTTGTTGCCAATCAGGTATTACTGGAAGTGCAACAGATGTTGCTATGGGTAAGGATCATGAAGTAATGAGACACTGGAATGGCCATGAATCCCTTGTAGAGCATTGCAGTTCTAAGGAATGGGATGTTGGTTATTTGCCCTGTTCAAAGGGTGAAGATTTTCTTCCCACCTGCAGTGTAATTGAAGAAGTCTTCGGTTCTGGAATTTGTAATTACAAGACATGAGATTGCTAAAACCTGAAGATAGTGGGGTTGACATTCACATATTTGAGTTGCACATAGGATAAAATTAAGAGCAAAAAGTGTTTTGAAATTAGATATTCTTGTTGTAAATCATATTGGCTGCGTAGCTGCCCAAGTCAGGAGTTCGATCTCCGCTGTAAATATTAGTCCCAGTTTAGCATACATCTTTAGTTTTGAAAAGCTATACCCCCAGAGACAAAATTGTACTTGGAGTGGGTTTCATGTTTGGGAAGGAAAGGATACCTTGTTGAATGAACAAAACTACACCAGGCTCTGCTTTTCCATGTTGACTACATCGATCAGCAGCTCCAGCTGACAAGTTTAGCTTCATAATAAGCAAAGCATGTATAGTGTTGACCTAAAAAACCTTGTTGTGTTCAAGTGTTTCTAGTTTCAGCAGATGATAAATGTAGAAATATCAGATTATGGTACAGTTAGCCTCTGAATTACAATCTCTGCCAATCAATTCTGAACTTGACTGATCGACATGGGGCCTGGATTCATTTGTGTGAATCGAAATCAATGTTTGCTGATGGTTGGATTGGTCTACTTGATATTCTGCAGATGTAATTGTCACACATGAATCCGGGCTCTGTGTGAAAACGGGATTCGATTCTTCCTGTCATTTTTCAGTTGAAATGCAAGAGAAGATTGGCTTTTGAGCACTTGCAGTGCAACTTCAATTTCTTGAGTTTCAACATCGTGTTGTGCTTAAAACAGTACTAAAAGTTTTCACTTTGGGACCTCATTAATTGATTTTGCCGCGGTAATGGACTTAGGTGCGACAACGGTGTGGTCTTACAATGTCTTTGAGTGATTATTGTTCAATCGCCATTCACCATTATTATGACCAGTCCTGATTAACACTTGAGCTGAGTTGGGTGTTGCTTTGCGTTGATAACACTTGACTTGGTACCTTAGTAGCTATGTATCACTCTTTACTTTCTTCTGTAGTTTATTAGCCATCATTTTCTGTGCAGCATCACTTTCCACACTGGAAGAAATTGAAGAAAGCATTGTTTTTTAGGTTTAGATTTTTAATGGTCAACTGCCGAGTTGTTGATATTACACTGAAAGCTTTGATAATTAGTGTATGCTGAGTTGTTTATTCATTAGGTTTTTTTTTTAAAAAAAAAAATTGTTTCAATTATTATCTTTTTTTCTTTTTCCCAATTGATTTAGTAATGTCAACCTCATCACACCTTCTGTCTTCTGAAAGAAGAACAGATCTACCGGAACAAAGGAATATAAATTCAGTTGTATCACAGATCAAAGAGTAGAAAACCCCAATGGAAGAAAAAAGAAAAAAAGAAACAATTTTTATCCCCTTTTTCTTTTACTTTTTAAACTGAACCATACACTTAAATTTCCACTTTTAGCTTGCTTCTTGCTAGGGCTTTGGCTAAGTAAATAGTTGCAGAAATTGTAATCTCAATGTTCATCAGGAGGTGGCTTCAGCTGAATTATGATTAGTAAAAGGATAAAGGTGGAAATGAATGATTAAAATGTAAGACATATGATCAGCAAGAGAGTGTCATTTAGCTAACAATACTTGGATTCCAACAGCCACATGGCTTCAGATATGGAAGAAAATGCTGCAACCCTAAACATGCAAGAAGTAACACAAGCTAGCTAACAAATACAAACAAAGGGGGTCCTCTTTTGCTTAGTTAAGTGAAAAGACGATGCTCACACTAACTTAGTCATATAAAAACTACGTTGTTTTTATTATTAATAAATCGGGTCTCAACCCTGCCAGGCTCAGCCCTGGTTTCAAAAAAAAAAAAAAAAAAAAAAAACTATGTTGTTCTCAGCTCAGCTAAATCAAAAAACCACTTACCACACTTCCATCATCTTGCATCCCATGTCATATGCTCCATCCACAAAAGACTAGGTAAGCACGAGCCATATAGGTCCCATGTTGTAGAATTTGTTAAATGTCCAAATTATAAAACTAATTTTTTGGTTCTTGATTTATTATTTTTGTGGAATACATATATATATATATATATATATATATATATAATTTGAGTGTTCCCTAAGCATTGCTGGTGAGGACTTGTTGCTCACTTACACATGCACCATTATTACCTTGTTTAAAGCTACACATGCCCCCCTTTTATGGTTAGTCTTTTAGCCATGCCTAGGAAAAACACTCACCATTGTGTTCTGAACTTGTTTTAGTAAACCTTCATCCACATTTATTCATGGAGTCTAAAGCTATTTTACCTTGAAATTGCAATATTTTTGCCTTTCATCATCATGATCAATTTAATGTCACTATTGCATTGATTTTGAGAAATGGGATTTGGTCACTAGTTAAATTTCAATTTCAATCTCATTTTCTTTGTTCCTTTTACCTTTAAAATTCTTTTCAAAACAAGGTAAATTGCACATTCGTCCTTTAATATTGAGCTAAGATGTATTTCGGTCTCTCATCTTTCAAAAGCTTAAACTTAATCTCTTAGCTTGATAATCAATGTAATTTGATCAATCAGAAAAATGTTCAAAACTTGTATCACCAATTCTAAAATAAATAAAATCATCCCACATAAATCCTTTATTAAGATTAAAGTAATTCTAAGAAGTGAAGCTATCTACAAGAACATAACCATCTTTGCATAAGTTAAAAAAAATACTAAAGTTGATTTTTCTTGGGAAAGAATTCATGTATAATACTATGATCCCAAACCATATACTTAAAGGATTCAATTACTGAAACTTTATGAAAAATGACAACCAATTAGAATGGATTTTGGCTCAAAATAAAACTACTAGCAATGCCATGATGAATCATACTCTCTTTCAACTTAGATGCAGCTCTCTTTCAAGTTTCAAAGCTTCAACCACCACCAGCAGGAGGGGACAATAGATTCATGACATGATTAATTAACACTTAATTGACGTGTGGCTTCTATGATTAATGACCTTTCTTATATTCTAATTAATCTTCATGTTTATCAATCAGTAAATCAGCAAAAGTGGTACGCAGTAGCTAAGTGTGACAGATCAAAGCTTTAATTTCTTGGTGTGATGCATATATAACGTGGCTCAGGTTCTATTATCTCTCTGGTCATTTTTTATTAATCAGAAAAAAGTCTTACTATATACTGTTTATTAATTCCACTTGTGTGCTGCTGAGAAGATGAGAGGCAGGCAGTTTGTTCTTAGTTGGGTTCTTTGCTTTGACTTGGGATTAAAGTAATCTGTTTAATTAAGCAGCATGCTGCTCATGATCATACATGACTTGACTGAAGTACCATTTCAAGAATGACATTACTCGGTTTTCTACACTTTTCCTGGTTATGAAGTTGGCGAGTTTAATCGTTTACCACAGATTTCAAAACCCAATGTGAACTATATTTTAGAACAGAAGTAGTAATATTTTCCGTCATTAATTAGTCAAATCGTAATTTATCAATTCAAAATCGTTTTACTCATCAAAAACTTCAGTTCCTGCTTGTCAAATCTTTCGAATTGAGTTACATATATGTCTTGCTTACGTGATAAAAGTTTTGATTATCTCAAACATTGGTAGTATAAGTAACTTGATTTTACCTCTACTATCAGCAAAGGAAGAGCAAAGTTTACCAAATTTAATCATAGTGTAAAATACAGCTAACTAACTAATTATATACTGACAACATTGACTAAGTTATCTGACAGATGAAATTGACAAAAGAGAACAGAGAACTTGGCAGGTTACAGTATGTTGACGAATGGCAAAGGATTTCAGTAATCTGACACAAGAATGAAGCACTAGTAAAACCAAAAAACTAGTTCATCTTCAAATTTAAAAAAAAAAAAATTGTTTGGATGTAGATAGCTACATTGGTCCCAAACACCATATGTATATATATATATATATATATATATATATATATATATCTATATATTGAAAGGGGTTGGGTAGATATAATTAAGGTAAAATTAGCTTAGATAACTAGTCATACCCAACTCTGGTGGTGGTTCTTAGGGAGGTTAGGTCACAACAAAAAGGGGTGGGAGATGTGGTATAGAGAATGCTTGACCATTGCATAAAGCCAAAAGTTGGGCATCTTACCTTAGTAGTATGTTTACAAAAGGCATGGAGATTGGGAGTAGACAAGCAGTGGCCAAACTTTACTTGCAAGGTGTCTGCTTGTCAATTTGAGCATCACTTTTAGGCAACCCACAAAAACAAAAGGAGAAAAAACACTATAGTATACCCTTCACTCACAAGTGAAGTCACTTGTGCCAATTGGATCATAATTGCTTGGAGAGTTTTTTAGTATTTACTAGTCTTGTTATCGAGTCGTATTTCATATTTGCAAGTCGATGAAATAGTGATTATTGTACCAGTTGAGATGAACTCATTACGATTTTAAGGATCGCAATTTTCTAACCATTTTTAAATGATGTTTATATTGGAGTATTTCTATATGAGTAAAATTTAAAAGTTCATATTGTATCACAAATTAACCCAAAAGACAGTAGATCAGCTGACTTTCATCAATATCCAATGTAGTGAATTCTATCTTACTAGTGGTCCTGCCTTTCCTTTTAGCTAGTTTTTCTTTTTCTGGTGCAATGAATTGTGCCATATGGGTACACACTACTCTATATTTTGATCACTGTGAAGCTACAAATGCTAAATGCTGCAGCTTTTGCACCTTTGCCAAACTCCTTTCACAACTAGGATGATCCAATATGCAAACAGAGAGCTAAAAAGAAGATGGTAATGTGACAAAATTAGTAGTTTTTGTAATGGTGACAATCCTTCTTTTCAGCAAAGAAATTTTATGAAAGAAAGATACACTAGATACTAACCAGTACTATTGGTGTAACAACTTTAAGAGAAGTGGTTGGACAACTCTTTCTCACCTGTGGAATCTAATGAGTTTCATAACACAAAAAAAGCATTCCTCTCCCTAGTTGCATGATGAGTAATGAATTATAGTTTAGTTGACGGTGAAGTGTAAACTAGTAATAAGACGTCTCTCTTATTTTTAATATGTTACAGATTCGAGTAATATTTTATACTTACAATGTTCTTGTCTATTGTAGGAGAATCCATCTAATAAGCTAGCCTAGTAGCCATATTACAAATGTGTTTACTTCAGTTTAGCCCAAGTATTTTTTGTGAATATTTGAGAAGTGGAAACTACAAGCAAACATGTGAAGCTGCCATCTTTCCTCCATTCCTGTCTTAGTGTCTTCTTGTTGCTTTAAGCTGCTGGCCTGCTATGCTGCCTTTTCTTTTTCTATACCCCTTTTTACCCAATCAATTTGGCACATACCCTAAGTCTTATTTTGTACACTTTGTCAAAAAGGGAAAGAAAGAAAACCAATTAAATGTTGATCAAAGAAATGTTGCAAAATCCCTGAATTTCCCCTTTTTTTCTGGATCAATTTCCTCTCATGATAAACCAAATTATTAGCTGTTACATGATGTACATCATGTGTTTGCACTTGGTAATAAGGAAAGGAAACTAAACCCGAAAACTTATGCATTTACAGCAATACAATACGAACACAACTTGTTTATTTAGTACTTTCTCTGTTTTAAAATAATTGTTCAGTTTAAATTTTTGCGTTTAGTTTAATTTTTACCGAAATGAGAGTCCAAACTGGACAATTATTTTGGGACATAGAGCGTATACATTATTTGTAATGCAATTACGACAGAAAATTCAAATAATCCAATTGATGTGAAAATTCCTAAGGAATAAGAGGATAACATAAGGGGAATATGGCATGACCACCAATAGCAAAATGTGGATCTGTGTCATCAACTACATTATTAGCTGTTGTTGCTCAATTTACAGTGACATGCGTTTAACTTGACTATAACCTAATAAATTAAATCAATTTCTCCCTAAACAGAAACTATTTTAGAGTACGAAATGAACCCTATTTCCAATGTAGAATCTCCTTATAAGATTCTTAGTTTAAGTGAATTATAGTGCATGTATCTTTATACCGGCCAAATTGGAAGTACTACATAATGTGCTTGCACATGTCGACTCCAACAAAATAATAAAAATTCTACACTGAAATTTTTAGAAAAAAGCTTTACAATGTTTCTGCTGCTTCCTAGTTTCTATTTTTGCTAAATTATTTTCCTCCAATTTTGTGTATACAATAGAAACAGAAGAAAAAACAACTCTCTATAGACAACTCACAGCTAAACTTTGATAGAAATGCCGGCTAAAAGTGGCACAAAGAAACTGAATAGGGGACCAAATTAAAGCCTTTTTTTTTTCTACTTCAAAATATTCATTTCTTTTTTCTTGCTTATTTTTTTTTTAACACATTTACATTGATCTCAATTGATCTAAGTGAATATCTTTTGGAGTTTTTTCCGACAATTTATTTGTTTACACGCTAAAATTTAAGATTTGTTCAAAGAAACTAAAATTTTACATTTGTTTAAGAACACAAACTACTTACCAGTTGCTGTGATAATCGGTTTAGTATTATTGGAATGCTAATAAGACAGTTAGGTTGCGACTAATGCAATGAAAAGCCGGCAATGCACTAATGGAATTAGCTTAAGGCCGGTTTTTGGTTGCTCATATTATTCAGTAACTTAGTTCCTTCTGAGCAGCTTTGCTGGCAATTAAGTGACAAGTTTAAAAAAGAATCAAGTTGGATCAATGCCAAATTCCAAACTAAAAATCACTCATTATTTTGTCCTCAAATTTGCTACAGTTAAACTAAAAGAATCCAAATTGCCTTGTTCTAAAAAAACTTTCATAATTAGTCATATATAGCATCAATAGATGAGCTACTAGCATTGTTTGTCCTCTTGAAAATAAAAATAACCATTTAACTCGTAAAATGCCAAAACGTAGTATAAACCCCAAGATTTTTTTTTTCTTTTTGACTGAAAATATGAAGGAAGATCTTGGTAATAGAAGCAAATGTAAGAATATGTCAACATATGATATTTGAGAAAAGGAAGAGAAAAAATTACTTTAATAGAAAAGAGATAAATTAATAGTAATTGCTATTAGGAATAATGCTAGGCAGGTAGTTGCTTATAGTATTGTGCCAAGGATGGATCTATACTGTACCAGCAAGAAGCTGTAGCTGTAGTCATGTGGTACTACTACTAGCTAGTTTACTACGACTAATCCATATATGTCAACTTAATTGAAAGTATTGAAGTTTTGGAAAATTCCCAGTTGCAATTTACTTACGAAATCGTCCTCTTGACTGGACCATATCACTTGCCTTACTTCTCGTGAATATCATTTTAAAAAATAACAGTAACAGATGGTTATTGATAATGAGTGTTACTAATAGCAAAATATCTTCAAAACCATACACAAATAACAGTATACATAATGTGACAGATACGATCTGTCAAAGAGGGTGTGAAACTAAACCACATTAATTATAGATCTTTGTTCAACAATTGAAGTTTAAAACAATCTGCTAAACTTCCCAATGCCACAAGAAGTTGACTAAACCATCCATACTAACTTACACATACGGCTGAACTCTAAAGTTGTGTATATTAAAAGGGCAAAAACCCTTTTCTCTTTCTTGTCTTTCAATATCTGAAATCACCAAATATGTAGTAATCCTTATACCCCTCCATCATCATTTTTTTTTTAAAAAAAGAAAAATAAATAAAATAAAAAGCCTAAAGACTCCCGGGGTTTTTCTCTTTTGCATTTTTCAGTACCTAAAATCAACCAAATTGAATTAACCTTCTGCCCACCACTTTCCTAAAAAGATTGAATTGGACTTCGCAGGAGAAATAACATGGTCTGCTCTAATTGGCTAGTGAAGTAAGCACCAGTGAAGGCAACTCCCTCTCGAGTGTGGGACCCACCTACCTTCATGGATCTTTACAATGTAGTCTTCTCTAAACACACAAATGAGATCCCTTCAGCCCAACCTATCGTGTATTAATCGCGTCTTATTGAAATGAGTGTAATATAATTTTGGAGATACGTCTTTATTCACTAGTTCTATTTAAACTGATATGATACACAAAATTGACACACAATAAATGAGACGTAAGATCTGATTCTGATACTTATACATTTGTAATCGAATAAAATAGAAAAAAATCGAGATGTAATGGTTACAAGACATGTAGTACAAGTCCAAACTAAAGAATAACTACTACTACAATAGTGGAATCCTCTTTTTTTTTTTTTCCTTTTCTTTTTATTTAGCTTATTGGCAAGACAAAGAAAGGAATAGTTAGAAGTTAGTTTTTGAGTTCAAACAATTTGGAGGCATCCTCAACCATAGGGATGTCCAATTCAACAGAACATCAACCGTTGGATCTTTCGTTTTTTGGCGTAGGATCCTCAGTTGAGTACACGTGCTGCTATCCCTTCCTCCTTTACCTCTTTTTATCTTTGCTTCCATGCATGGATTTCTCCTCCAAATATAGTCTTGTGTTTGTGTAAGAAAAAAGAATGATGAAAGAGAAAGAAAAACAGAGAGAGAAAACAGAGTACTTACAAACTAAAGTATACTAAACTATAAACCGTTCTCTTTCAATTTTTTTTTTTTAATGATTTTGGATTGATAGTTGATCGCCATCATTAGCAACAAAGTTGGCATATACTCTTTCTCATCAAATGTGAATTTTTATTTTGTAGTATTAATATATACACAAAGTTAGTAGTGAAGAAGGAGAGAGCTAATAGAGAGGCAGACTTCACTACCACTACATGTTTGCCAGCTATTCACTCTTTCTCTCCTTCGACATATCAGATCTTGTTTCTTGACCCCAAGAATTCTGAATTTTCAGTTGCACGAACAGCAAATTCAACAACCCTTTTTCTTGTTTGATGAGAAAATTTCAAGATCACCACTTGGATTTATCACTTCAGATTTCAACTCCCAATTCTGTTTTTTTCTTATACTCTGTTTTTTTTTGTTTTTAATCATAAGTTACAATGAGATCAAAGCTGTAGCTTTTCTCTGATTTTTCTAAGCTTATTCAGTGCAAATTAGGAAGACCCTTTTGGTGATTTCTTTTTTTGTGCTCTTCTCTGTTTGCACTGAATTCGAGTCGTATTCGATGGAAGAAGATCAAGAAATGAAGCATTTGTGCAAGTTTTGTGACAAAAGCTTCCCATGTGGAAGATCCTTAGGTGGTCACATGAGGTCTCATTTGATCAGTGTTCCAGATGAATCAAATGAGAAGATTATGAAGAAAAAGTTACCATCAATACCATCATCATCATCCATCTTCAAAAATAATGGTGGTGCTGCTAATACTAAAAATGATGCAGCAGCAGCAAAAGAAGCTGGTCAAATTGCTTATAGTCTGAGAGAGAACAGAAAGAAAACTAGCAAGTTTGCAAATTTGAGTGAGGATAATTCAGTTGAGAGCAAAGTTTGCAAGGAATGTGGCAAAGGGTTTCCATCTTGGAAGTCTTTGTTTGGTCACATGAAGTGCCACTCTGATAAAGTCACACACAAAGCTACTACCTTGGAAGAAGATGAGAATTCAAGTGGTTCTGCTAGTCTTCATCACAAGCTGATCATGGATAGCCAATCTGATAATGAAACAGCTGCTCCAAAAATCAGGAAGCAGAGATCAAGAACTCAAAGGTACAAAGCTGCTGCTAGAAGTACTACTTCTACTATTTTAACTGTTAGTGCTGCTTATTCCCAATGTGGTTCTGAGGTTGAGAATGAACAAGAAGAGGTTGCCATGAGTTTGATTTTACTATCAAGGGATGTTAGTAACTGGGATGGTCCTAAATCTGTTTGCGTCGAGTCGTCCGATAACAATTCTGAGCTTTTGAAATCCAGCAATAATCTTGCTTCTTCAAGCTTGATCAAGTCTAAGATGAAGAAGCTTGATTCATGTAAATTAGCTTCAAGGAAAGAGTTCACATTTTTGAAGAATGACGCAGAAGTTTCTCCAGCTGATGATGCTTTTCTTGGAGGCAACTTAATTGTCACAACAAAGGGTCATAAAGTAGTAGAAGTGGAAACTGAATCAACTGATCAATTCCAGCAGTCTAAGCATAAAGTGGATTTGGGTAAGAATTTGTCTGAGGAAAGTCATATGAATAACAACAACAATCATTCCGAGTTGGAATCCAGCAGCTGCAAGCAGAATTCAAGCAAAAGAAAGTATAATTCTTTCACTATGAAACATGAGCATCCAGCAGAACTGATTTCAGATTACTCAACCAAGCTTCAATCTTTTGGTGCTGCTTCTGATTCTGATCAGTTGCTTTACCATCAGGTGGGCTCTGATAGAAAGAGCAAGTTTGAATGTACAACTTGCAATAAGTCCTTTCATTCTTATCAAGCTTTAGGTGGTCATAGAGCTAGCCATAAGAAGCTCAAAGGCTGCTTTGGTTCCAAAATTGATAGCAGTGAGAACAGCACTGAAACCGAAATCTCTCCGAATCAAACGGCAGATAGCAAACTCATCATCAGCAAATCATTCTGCAATGACAAGTCATCAGTTCATGATGACTCTGGTTTCAAGGCGAAACTCGAAATTCCCGCAACTGATTCTTTGTCCAAGGAGATTAGTATGGATACTGCAGATTATTGTTTCAAGAAAAACAAAGGCGCCGGCGCCGGCAGCAGCCATGAATGTCCAATTTGCTTCAGGGTTTTCCCATCAGGGCAGGCCTTAGGTGGTCACAAGAGGTCACACCTAGTTGCCGAGATGAAAAGCAACCAAGCCGCCGCCGGCGCTGTCATTATCCCGAAGAAAATCCCTGAAATCAGAGACTTTCTTGATCTCAATTTGCCTGCTCCAGTGGAAGAAGAAACCACTGAAAAAGTCTACTTCAATTCATGGTGGATGATGCCAAGCAACCACAAGCAAGAGCCTTTACTCGGGATGCTCTAATTAACTCATTCATCATTCATCCTGCTAAAGAAACAAAAAACGCTTCTTTCTAGCCTGATCAATTCAAGTGTACAGATTCATTGATTCATTCTATCATTCAACTGTCCACACCCCAGTAACAACCATTCCATTTGGCTACTAAATTAGCCTCTAAGAAGCTCATTCAGCACTCACACACCTTATTCAATTTTTCTTTTTGGTTTTTTTTTTTTGTTTTTACCACAGAAATGTTACACTCATTTGGCTAATTTAAGTTGTACACTCTTTCATTACTTTTCCATTTTCTTGATGGAGATATGATACAACAGATATTAATTCTTGCACTTTTGAGTTCCATGCATTTCTCTCATTTACACTACTTAATATTGAAACTGTGAAAAAAAAAAAGAAAAAAGAGTAGGAGTAAAAACTAATATCTGGAGATGCAATAATTTTTACTTAGGATTGAAGAAAAAGTGAAGAAGTGATCAGGGGGTGTTGAAAAAATTGAACAAAAGTCTCCAAAAGTGATGAGATTGAAGACAGTTTTTTTAAAAAATATTTGGACATGAAGATGAGTGGCAAAGTGATGAGTTCATGGTGGTTGTTTAGTCACCAACCATAAAACACCTCACAAACAAAACCATCCTAATTAAACACTGTATTAATCTGTACTTTAATGTTGTTAATTTATTCTTGTATCTCATATGGGATGTTTCTTTACAATTCTAAAGAGGGGAAGACAAATATATTTAGTATGGATAAAGTGGCATTCTACTATGAATTCAGTGTGGAAGAATTGGCTTTGTCAGATCTCTTCTACTCCTAATATATTTTATAAAGAGCTCAAAAGGTCTTGGTCTTTCTACTACCCCTGCACATATACATACTCCTAATCATTAAGCTCCCCACGTTACTCACAACACTTTTTTAATTAATAAATATGAACAAACACTAGTGTGTGTGTGTGTGTGTGTGATCTAACATTATTAGTTAGCCAATGTAAAGAAAGGTAGTTGCAGTTGGCTAGACACATTAAGAAACAAAGTTGGTTAGTTAAGATGGAGTTAAAAACAGATGATGCATTTACAATAATATAGTGGAGAAGTGGTAAAAACAAGCTCAATGCATGCTTACTGTGAGGTATAGTGTTGTAGTAAAACGTCTGACTTGTTCCTGGCAAGTCGTGTGTGTTCGAGAGAGAACCAACACAAATCCATTAAGTGAAACGAGAGGGGGTGGGGGGGGGGGAGGAACTCAAATGGCAAAATGTATATTGTATAGTTCACCTTAGATGGCTTTAAAGTTAGATTGATGTTGTACATTGTTTTGAAGAAAATTTCGAAATGTATTGGAGACTTGCATTGAAGGAGACAGATATTTATTTTGACAATTACATGTTAAGAGGGAAAGGTCATTGTTTAATTCAGCCTTTTGCACTAACTTATGTGACATCTAATTTATTATTTTGCTCTAACTTATCTTGATCAAATGGTCATTGTTTGAGAGCATTGTAACAAAAGGAAAACGCCACTATATTTTTCCCAATCCATCTGATAATAACAAAAAAACATCACCATAGCTATATTCACCATATTGTCACTTGATTTGGACAATAAACACTATGGGAGTTCCTTACAACTTACAAGACAGCCCAACCAGCCAATATATAGCATATAAAATTGTAGGCAGCCCAACATCAGTTACTAATGCTCTGATCACATTTCCTACAGAAGATAGAGATCATCCTAACCAGGAGAAAGGGAAGTTTGATATCAAACTCAGCTCAGTGTTGATACCCTTCCATTGTTCTCCTAGAGAGGAATTATTTAGTCAGTTGTCCAGCTATCCTCCACTACTTCACGCACCTTCTTGTCATATTGACGCTTGCTTTCACTCAACAACCGCGCGGCTTCTGAGTTGGCAGGTGAATCGTGTGGACTAGGGTCACAAAGCAGTGACTGGATGTATGTCATATAGATGCTACATCATAGACTGGACTCCAGTGATGTTCCAGAACATCCAAGAGAACACTTCCATCTGCAGCAATTTTTGGGTGGAACATTCTTGAAATGAATTTTGCAGTTGGAGGTTTATTTGGGTAATCCCTAGTGAAATTCAGTGTCAACCTAAATGTACCACCTGCCCAAGGAGAGTCATCTGGGCCAGTGATGATAGCGTTCGTGAGCATGATATTGTCATCATTAGGAGCGCCACTGATGCCGGCAGGAGGGTCTTTCCGTAACCTCGTGTAATCCCTGACCAGCCTCTTTGTCGCCGGTTCCATTTTCCTATTCACCAAATTGAGAAGAGACACAGAGTAGAGAATGGTAGACTGAAGATTGGATGATGAAATTGATGAACGTCTGCTTCAGGCTTTTGTTCTCCCTTGTCTCTGTTTTTTCTTCTATCAACATGTCAGAACCAAGATCAAGTTATAAAATGGCCACGACTAATTCAAGCAATTCATAGACCCAAATATTTTGGGAACAGATCATGTGAGGGCAACATCAGGAGAATGTAATCCAAACCAAAGCCGGAACAGAAACCAGACGTAATCAAAGTTAGTATTCAGTTTCAAAAACCATATTCCATTCCCATCTGAATTAGAATTAAAAAAAGAAAAAAAATTAACTTTATTTTTTTACAAAAAAATTCCTTAAGCCAGTACCTACTACGATAAACACTCATCTTCCGGCCTCAATTCTTATACCAACTACAATTAAATTCACCTAAACACGTGAGAATAGCTGAAGATTGCCGTCTCTTATGCCTTAATCTTTTACAAACATGATAGTAGCTGAAAATTGCTGCCTCTTCAATCCTAAATCCTTAAAAAACAAAGAGGTGACACGAGTAACATTTGAATAAGATACCGATTTTTGCGGCATGCTCAATGTACCATGGAAGTCCTAAGAGTGACAGCAAAGAAAATCAAGCAGGGTATACGTGAAAAAATGTACCCTAAACAAACCTAGCACCAAACAGAAATACTGGAAACATATACAGAAACCAAAGGTGCGGCCAAGATAAATATGAGTAAATCATCATCACTCCAACAAAAGCCTACCAAGTATCTGTAATATAGTTCATATTAGCATATTACAGCACATGAGCAAGCACACCAAACTTTCGAATGAACAAGTCCAAAGAAAAAAAAAAAAAAGCATGATCAGGTACTACTGAATTATATGCCAACAAATCCCTATATATGTTTTTGATGGCGTGAAGGATGTACAAATAGGCTGGAATTATAGGACATTGTCAATAAAGAACATTAAATTCATCGATCAAAAATATCCAGAAAAGAAGTAACAGTAGTAGTAATTCAAACCTGAATTATGAAGCTCGAAATCTTCAGGCGCTGAAGCCAGAGAATTTCTGCAGAAGAAAATCACAAAAGCTTGAAAACAATACTGATACTAACTTTCCTGGTTACTGTTTGCTTTTTTTTTTTTGGCCCACTGATGGTGGTCTATTTATAGATATTATATATATGACTGTCGGACTTAAGCTTTTCCTATCCCTATAGGGACAGTAGATTCAGGGATTAATTTCAAATTGAACTAAACTTATATCCATCGCTAATTATTAGTACAAACTACAACATAAACTGGGAATGTTATTACAGAAAAAATGTATGCAACAATATTCATAACCAAAAGCAGATGAGACAAACATATCAAAACTGAAAATAAGAACTGATTTTCAAGAAAAAATACACAATTGCATTTGGTTTTACCGGAGTTGGAGTTGCACAGCCATACCATTGATTTCTCCTCCGAACCTTGGACAATGGCATAATTGAAACTAAACAAGCATGAACACTTGCCAATCAGTTGCAGAAAATATTAGAATCAATCAAATTTGTTGTTGAGAAAGCTCACCTAAAGGTGGCAGCTTCATCATTAATGGATCGACCCACATCAGATTTTCAGAACCACAAGCCATAATCACTCAAAAGTTTCCAACAAACACCCCCCAAAAAAAAAAGAAAAAAACACTGCCCATGGCTGATGGGCAGTGGGGGGAAAAGATGGTCAGTAGCCATTTGAAAGCAAAGTAACCCCCTGAAAAAGAACACCCTTTTAATCAGTTTACAGCAGGGATTGGGAAGACACATGGGGTCAAGGAGGAATTGAAGAAGAAGAAGATGCAGGGCAGATGATTTAGAATGAAACGAAGAGAAAGGGAAACAAGGTGAGCAAATGGAAATTGGGAGTCCCCAAATCTGCAACATATGCAAGGAAGAAGAACAAAACGACGTCTGTTGGCGCCAGATGCAAATGAAACGGATTAGGACTAGAATATAATTAGCTTACTAATTAAAATTTAATTATAATAAATTTTGATTTGTCATAAATTTTATTTATATGAAAATAAAACCTTAAAACTATATTTTCACATTTATTTTATTCTTTCAATTATTATAAAATATTTTAAGATCTCATTTTCAATTAAGAAAAGCACAATAAATTAAACTTATAACAAATCAAAATACTTTATAATAAGCACCTGATGGATTAATACTTATTCTTTTTTTTTTGGTATATTCTGCACCCGGTGTTCGAAGTCATTACTCCGATAAATCTGGAATCGGGCCAGGCAGGTCCCTTTCTTGTAAAACTATTGAAGTGTCTCCATGTAAAGAGATTTTTGTTTTAGTTTCTAATGAAATTATACAACAGACATTTTTTATTTTTTTTTTAATAATAGACATTTTTAAAATTTTAATATAGACAATCTATTTTTTTACATTCAAATATCACAAGGATGATGATCAAATTACAACAATCATTGTGATTCTTTGGAAAGATTATCTGCTGCAACGCTAAAAATGTGAATATATCATTCATACCCTCCTAAAATTCTTCAAATGTCATTCAACAGAGGGATCTTTTTTTTTATTTTTTTTATAAGCTCTGCTAGGTCAGGAATTTACAATTAAAATTGCAGTATTGCTTTCTTTCTTTTTTTTTTTTTTTTTCCAAAAGAGGGGAAAAATCTAATCTCTTTGTGGAAACTCTCATGCATAGAACTTATTAATTCAGCAATACAATATAATTTACCTTTTTTTATTTTTTTTTTAAAAAACTAATAACAGCAATATAACATACATTATTAAAATAAAATTAGGGATACGATTGCAAGTAATTGAAGTAACATTGTTCGGTTCAAACCCAAAATATATGTAAGAAACTTCTCCAGTTTTAGTCTGACTTCAGCCACCGCCATTCCGCCACCCACAGCCACCAGTGACCCGACCCGGTTTCCACCAAATTTCAAAAATCTCCATCCTCTTTCAGAGTTCCAGACTTGGCCTCCAACTCTGCCGCCTTCCACCGCCCATCTCCGCCGTCGCACACATTCATGGCCTGTAAACAAACCATTGTTTGTAAACACAGCCGGTAATTATTTACTAAGAAGGAAAAGAAAACACAATGGCAACCAAAGCTCCGGCAGCTCCAGGAGCAGCAGGGACAGCTTCCGGCAAGAAGAATAAGAAGAAAGGGCGGCCTCCAAGTAATGGGAACAATAATGTTGCGGAAGCTACTAAGATTAAAATCTCCCAGATTCTCGAGCAATTTCGTGCTTCAAGTGACCTGGGTAACAGTGCTTTCGTCGTTTCACCGATAGATTATGCTTGTTTACAACTGCCTTTTTTTTTTTTTTTTGTGCTCAGTGCTTTTAGGTATTTTCATGTTCTCTTTGTTGATTGCCTCCCGGGTTCTATCAATATTTCATGCTTTTGTGATAAATCGAAAAAGGAGTGATTTTTATTTTTATTTTTTGCTTTGCGTTTATTGAAGCAAGAGAATATTACAATGTGCTCGTCTAGCCATTCGCTCGATGACTAAAAAGGATATCATGAGTGTTCGCAGCTTTAAAGCCGAAGGAGCTACTCTGGGTGTATAACAAAAAAAATAAAATAAAATTGTGTTTGTTTGTTCATTTGTTTGATTGTAAGAATAGAAGTTTATAAGCGGGTTGGTTTTAGAACTTTGTGCTCAAATCCTTAGTTAGCAAATAAATAAGTTGAGCCCGTGTTAATAATAAGTAATTGTTGATATGTGATGAGCTGAGATATTATTTTTCTCTCTACACACTTGATTATAGTTTTCACTTCTATTGGCTTCCACTGTTTAATACTTGATATTTATATCTGAATTTGATATTCATATGAATAATGCAGTGTACACATTTGAACCCAACCTAAACAACTATGAGCGTGCTGCGGTGCATGTACTGTGTAGGAAAATGGGTATGAAATCCAAAAGTTCTGGGTTAGTGTTTCCTGCCTTCTTTACTTTTTGTCATTATCATCTACTTAATATAGTGATAACCAATCATATATGTCTACTCCAAGTTGTTGTTTTAAACCACTTGTCCATTGCAGGAATGGGGGTCAACGTCGTGTTTCTGTTTATAAAACGAAGAAGAAAGCTGACAGCATGAATGGACAGGAAAATCTTACTTCTTTCACATTTTCAGTAGAGGCAGGGGATGTGCTATGTGATATGTTCATGCATTATCCTCCCGGTGATAATGAGATCAGTCAGTATATGGTCGAAGAGCAACATGAGAAATCTCATAGATTGCGAGGAAAGAAAGATGACATGTTTAGCAAGCCTTTTTTTAACAAATCTGACATTGAAAAGAAGATCGAAGGATATAATTCACGAGTTGAAAAGAGCCCCAACCTAAAACAGGTTTGTCATTTTTCTTTGGGTGTCCTATGTGTACATGTCAATCTCTTAAAACTGGTGTCTCTTTGATGTTGCCCGTGGTTACAATATAACTATATGTGCATGGTCTTCTCCAATGAATGGTTTCAGATTACTGAAGGAAGAGCTAAGCTTCCGATTGCATCCTTTGCAGAAGCCATCAAATCAACTGTAGCATCAAATCAGGTCCCTTTCTTATTGCTTTTCTCCATTAAGATGCCATTAATGTCGACCCCATGAATTACTTTTCCTTCAACCTCTGAACAAATGTTATATTCATTTCCGAAAATCAGGTAGTTCTTATATCTGGTGAAACTGGATGTGGAAAAACTACACAGGTATGCCTTGTACTGTCCTGCTTATGTTTCCTACTTCAATCTGTGGCTAGATATAACGAACAATTTGCGTTGTTAGTCCTTGGAGCTAATGACTTCTTTTATTGGTGATGATGATGATGATGATGGTTATATTACAAGTATGCATATTTTTTTCCCAAGTATGAAACTTCTCTGCCTAAAGTGCTCAGCCTGGGGACCCCAATTTTGTTATGAGAAGTAGAGGGTTTTGTCATGTCGATCAATCTAATTATCTCTCCCTTATCTGAGCACTTATTTGTTGAGGCAAAACTGATCCATAATGTTTTAATGGTCCCATAAATAGCCAATGTCGTAGCACTTCTGTAGAAGTCAGTTACCTGAGTCTACCGCATGCAAAGTAGGATGGTATAGTGTTTGTTGTTTGTTGTTAAACTTCTTTCACTGCTTCCCTTCTGAGTAACTTATGTTGCATGCTCTTAGTGGAGCATGTGTCGTATATGTTTTCTTATGAACCTACATGCTTTCATTGGATCATGTGTCCTAATATGTTTTTTGTAGACTTGCCTGATATACAATTTTTTTCCCTCTTGTCTATTGATTCAGGTCCCCCAGTTTCTACTGGATCATATGTGGGGCAAAGGGGAGAATTGTAAAATAGTCTGTACGCAGCCACGGCGTATCTCTGCTATATCTGGTGGGAAACATGTTTTTCTCTATAGGTTAAATTTGTACCATATGCTTTTCGAAATTTTGGCTTTTGAATGTGAATGAGTGCCTTGTCCTATGTAGTTGCCGAAAGAATTTCTGCTGAAAGAGACGAAAGTGTTGGAGATACCATTGGGTACAAGGTAGTGGATCTCTTACTATTTTCAGTTTTTGTAACTGTTTCCTCTAGCATAATATTTTTAATTTACTGGGATTTTCTACTTGTTAAGCATGAAACATACTACTGGCTATGATCATTTTTTCATACCTGTTAAGTGTGTAGATACAGTTGTAGTTGATTGGTGACAACCATTTTGAATTTATGATGCTCAATTGTCTTAGGCTTATCACTAATTAGTTGTATAGGTTCTTATGTAATTTTTGTTTTTTTGTGGGAGTTAAATATCTTACGTAATGGTTGTTTCTTTGTAATTTTTGCTGTGTATCATATCTGCGCAACATTTTAAAGTGGTTTATATTTTTGGAAACTGACAGATAAGGCTGGAAAGTAAAGGTGGAAGGAATTCATCTGTTGTATTCTGCACCAATGGGGTTCTGTTGAGGGTTTTAGTCTCCAGAGGAAGTGACAGGACAAGTAAAAGTCCTACAAGAAAAGCGGCGAGGGATGTTGCTTCTGATATAACTCACATCATTGTGGTTTGTTCCCTTTTCAAACCTTTTAAGTTCTTCTCTCTGTGTGTGTGTGTGTGTGTGTGTTTCTCAATCTGTTTCTTTCTTTTTAGTTTTTGTACGGATTAATTTGATGATTTTTGATATATCAATTTTCTTACTTTCTATTAGAAAAAAAGATTCGATTGATTTTTATGGCTTTATGTTTTGATTATTGTTGTAATCAGTCGGATTTCCTATGTATAAATGATGAATATGTTGTTTGTGAGCTTTACTAACATTGATCAAGGGTGTTTCTTTTCCCTTTTTAACCATAATAGGTCTTGATTGTTGACTGCAACAGAACTACTTTAAATGATTGAAAATCTTTTCCATCCAAGCTTGAAATCTCACTAACAATTACTCATTATTGTTCTAATTAGCCACCTATTTGCCGTTCTCGTTTTTTTGTTTCACTCTTCTGGCAGATATTCTTAATTGTGTTAACTAATATGCCTGTTTATAAACCAAGAAGGTCCCAGTTTTGCATTTTAGAATTGTAGCTTAATTTTATAATTCATCATTTTCAAGAGGACGCCTTTTTTTGGATGAAACAAGAGGAAACCTGATTTACTCCCCTTTCAAGTTATAGTACAGGTTTATCTCCTTATCTCTCAGAGTCAACTTTGGAAATTGGACAAAGGAATTTTAATTTTAAAGAGATAATACGTTTTGTACTTGAATTTTCTCCCCAGACCTTTTGGTGATTCTCAAATTTGAAAAGCACTGCTTCTCAAGTGCATTTATCAGTGAAATAAAATTATCACTTCTTCCTTTTGTCTCCACCTAAATGAATAACATGATGGATGTAGATAACTACTTCGGTCAGAGTGGACTATATTTTGGACTACATTGTGGAAATGTGCCCTGATAAGGGGCTATGTAGCTTCTAATTGACTGAACACTAAGCGTGGGCATTTTTAAAAAGTAATAAAGCAAACTTAAGAAACATGTTATATTAAATAAACGAAGCAAATGATATAATAACAAACTAAAATTATTCTGAAATTTAATAAACGTTTGTATGGCTATGATGTTTTGGTATCATTAAAACTTAGTTGGGAAAAGTCAAGCTAAAAGGTTAATTAGATTTGGAAAGGGAAATTTTTTTTTAAGAACAAATTATACTTTTGATTTTACGGTTTAGATTTTTCACCTACATGTAATAGTTTAGAATGTGAGACATTTGCCTCTTTTATTATAGAAGTAATTCATATCAAGATGTGATAGAAGTGTCATGAACTTTTTTATCGGGTTTTGTACCAAATTTTTTATTAAATGAAAAGAAAAGTAGTTTTTTAACAAAAATATTGGCTAATATTTCTTAAGGAGAATGTTGAGAACAAAAAATATGATGATCTAAATTTAGTTCTCACCTTGACGGGTTTAAGAAAAATAAAATTTGACAAGTTACAATAAAACGCATGACTTTTTATTTTACTTTTTATCAAAAGAAATTAAATGAACCAATAACTAAAGTAGAGATATTCATGAAAAAAAAATATTGGAAGCTTCTCATGTAGATTCCAACCCCCTACAGTATGTTAGATACAGAAGACAAATAGAGTAGGGGAAATTAAATTTTTTTTCTGTATGAAAGTGTTAATTTTTTTGTTGGCTCATTGATTTTTATGTAGTTCTAGATCTAAACACAAAAAATGATTAGCATGACAAAATTGACACATGGCTGCACTTGGAAGTTTGATGTAAGTGCGCAAAATTTTTTACATTTACCTAGCTAAGTCATAAGTAGTATACAAAGAGGGGCCAACGACCAAATTACTGTAGATTTGGCCCCTCTCGCTTTATATAGATAGTAGATATTAGCATTAAGAACTGCGGGCTGTTGACAGATTTTGAATTCCAATGTTTGATTTTTCACTTGAATTTAATTCATATATCTGATGATAAGTAAAGCAGAAATGGCTGTTGTTAGCAGTGGTTTGCAAGTTTATGCGCATATGAGAGCTGTCTTTTTTTTTTTTCTTTTTTCCTTTTCTCTTTCTCCTTTTATATGTATCATTTTTAAGTTTTAATAATAGTGTATATACATGCATTTTCTAAGAATATTTTGCATTCCAAAACTGATCTTAACTATGATTATAAAACAGAATGGTTTTTATTTGGAGGTGCACTCCAGTTGAGCCAAGTTGGATTATGACTCTTTTTCCCAATAACTGGCAGAAAGATTTGTACAGATTGCTTGCAGCTTAGTTCCCTGAAGTCATTAGTAGTGAAATTCATTGGTCCAGTTTTTGGTGGATATCTTTGGTTAGCTTGAAACATTGCTTGTGAATTTCTGTTGATATCAATTATGCTTTTATGTCCTGTTACATAATCATGTATTTCTGATTAAGTTTGTTTGTAAGATAGTTTACTCTCTTTAAGTTAATAGTTGTCTGGAGGATGTTATTTAACTTCACATGCTATTAACCAATTTATCAATTGCTTAATCATTATTAATGTAATAAGAAAGGACGCTCTGGAAAGCTATTGACTTCTCCATGATATAGGTTTTAATGAATCAAATTTTGTTTCTTGCATCATGAGATTTATTGTTAACAATAAGCTATATGTAACTTTGGAGTGTACGATGCTTTCATTCTCTTATAAGCTCTGGTTGAAATTCACCTTCTTTTTGTAGGATGAGATTCATGAGAGGGATCGCTACTCTGATTTCATGCTGGCAATTCTCAGGTGCTTTCATCAAAGCTGGAATTTACTAATTTACATAAAAGTAGCCTACTTGGGTCACATGGTCTGTTCTGTCAAAAGTTGTTCTCTTTCACTTGTTTTTTCTGGGGAATTTGGGCTACAGTTACTTTTTGTGCTTGAATTACTCTTTATTCAGTTAATTATGTTTGGTGTAGCACTCATGGTCACCAGCCGCTTTATATATTAAACAATACTAGGATGCTTGGTTGTTTTTTTTTTTTTTTTTTTCAATCAACACTTTGTTTCTAAGAATTCAGTGGAAGCTGATATATCTTTTCTTTTCGTGCAGAGATATGCTTCCGTTGTATCCAAATCTACGATTGGTAAGCTCAAAGTTATTAAATTTAGTTTACAACTGGTTTTTGTCGGACTGAATTTAGTTTCTCATATCTTCTATGCTGTGTGAACGTCTGGATTGCGTGATCAGACACTTTACATGCTAGTTTTTCTGACAAGACACTTTTTGCAGGTACTAATGAGTGCCACAATAGATGCTGACCGTTTTTCAAATTATTTTGGTGGCTGTCCAATAATCCGAGTTCCAGGGTTCACTTATCCGGTAAGTTACTTGCTTCCTTCATGTGTCTCTTAATTTATTATTAGTTCTGACATCACTCGAGGCTTCTACTTCAGGTAAAAATTTTCTTCCTGGAGGATGTACTTACCATTGTGAAATCTAATGAAGATAAGAACCTCAAATTTCCTTTAGAAAGTAATGAAACTGAGGAATCCATGTTAACTGAGGAATATAAGGTTGCACTTGATGAAGCCCTTACTTTGGCTCTGACAGCTGACGACTTGGATTCCCTACGAGATCTGATCTCTTCTGAAGGTGGTCAAAAGTTTTTAAATTACCAACATTCTTCAACTGGGATGACTCCATTGATGGTATTTTCTCTTAAAGGCAGCATTGGTGACATTTGTATGCTCCTTTCTCTTGGTGCTGACTGCCACTTACGTGCTAATGATGGAACTACTGCGCTTGACTGTGCTGAAAAAGGCAACCAGGGAGAAGCTGTTGAAATATTACGAAAACATAGTAATGAGACTTCTTGCGGCTCCCTGGAGGAGCAACTTCTTGAAAAGTACTTGTCAAATTTTAATCCTGAACTTATTGATGACGCACTTATTGAGAAACTTCTAAAAAGAATATGCATTGATTCCAAGGATGGTGCAATTCTTATTTTTCTTCCCGGGTGGGACGACATTAACCGTACAAGGGAAAGGTTAAACTCTAGCCCTTACTTCAGGGACCCATCTAAGTTTGTAATTATTTCTTTACATTCTATGGTACCGAGTGTGGAGCAAAAGAAGGTATTTAAAAGGCCTCCTCTAGGTTGCCGGAAGATTATTCTCTCAACCAACATTGCTGAGACAGCAGTTACCATTGACGATATTGTTTATGTCATAGACACCGGACGAATGAAGGAAAAAAGCTATGATCCTTATAATAATGTATCAACTCTCCAATCTTCTTGGATTTCCAAAGCCAGTGCGAAACAGAGAGAAGGGAGAGCAGGACGTTGTCAACCGGGTATCTGTTATCATCTTTATTCCAAACTTCGAGCAGCCTCTTTACCTGATTTCCAAGTTCCTGAGATTAAGAGAATGCCGATTGAAGAACTATGTCTGCAGGTGAATGTGTATTTGGTTTTGTTTGAAATGATTCTTTGCAGTTTTATCAGTTTAGATAAATGTTCCGTATTGTTATTGGGATTTTAACATAGTTGTGATGAAATATAATGTTTGGGAAATTTTATTTTCATTTCAGTTGTTGGTTGAAATGTGAGCGCTTTCTATTGCTTTTTTTCCTTTTCCATATTTTTTGTAGGATTGTCTTGATTTATGGTGTTCTTGCTCTACTCTTTAGAGAGTGCATGCTTCTTTTGGCAAAGTAAGCTAAATTACAGCCAAACTGATAATTACATTATGTATGGAGATCTTGTCTACTGGACCACTGAATTAATATGTGAGTTTCAATAAGGAAAATGGTACAAATTATCTCTTAACTGCATTAATATCCAATTTTCTTAATCTGAAGACTGGTACTGGTGAATAGTGAAATTGGTACAGATTATCTCTTAACTGTACTAAAATCCAATTTTCTTAGTCTGATGATTGGTACAGATTATGTTTGTAAATATTTACATTTTTTCCTACTGTTTTGCTTCTCCCTGATCTCTGAACTGGGACACTGAAGACAAACCCTTGCTCCTTTACAGAATTTGGTTTGTAACTGACTGTTGTCTATGCTGCCAGGTGAAGCTTATTGATCCAAATTGCAAGATAGAAGATTTCTTGCGGAAAACATTGGACCCACCTGTTTATGAGACCATATATAATGCAATCATTGTTCTCCAAGATATTGGAGCTTTGACTCTTGATGAGAAACTCACTACACTTGGGACAAAGATAGGAGCTCTCCCTGTTCATCCACTTACTAGCAAGATGCTTTTGATTGCCATATTATTGAACTGTCTTGACCCAGCATTAACTCTAGCTTGCGCTTCTGATTACCGTGATCCATTTACACTTCCAATGCTACCCAATGATAGGAAGAGAGCTTCAGCTGCTAAATCAGAATTGGCTTCACTCTATGGTGGCTCTAGTGACCAATTAGCTGTTGTAGCTGCCTATGAAGGTTGGAAATGTGCTAAAGAAAAAGGTCAAGAAGCGAGATTTTGTTCAGAGTATTTCATCTCTGCAACCGCAATGCGTATGATTTCAGGAATGAGGAAGCAACTCCTCTCGGAATTACTACGAAATGGATTTCTAACTGGAGATGAATCTTCCTTTAGCTTGAACGCTCATGACTCGGGAATACTGCATACTGTTCTTGTAGCTGGTTTGTACCCAATGATTGGGAGATTTCTTCCACCCATTAAAGGTGGAAAGAGATCCTTTATAGAGACGGCAGGAGGTGATAAAGTACGGTTGCACCCTCATTCCACTAACTCAAGGTTATCATATGGGAAATGCCATGATAAGCCTATAATTGCCTATGACGAGATAACTCGAGGAGATGGAGGTTTGCACATTAGAAACTGCAGTATTATTGGGCCACTACCATTGTTATTACTTGCAACAGAAATCGTGGTGGCACCCACAAATGAAGATGAAGACGAAGATAATGAGGAGGGAAGTGAATATGAAGGCTCGGATGATGATTTTGATGAAAATAAGGCAGGGAATAATGTTGAATCAAATGCACAGAAAATCATGTCTTCTCCTGATAATAAACTTAAAGTTATTGTGGATCGGTGGTTGGCTTTCGAGTCTAAGGCGCTTGATGTTGCTCAAATTTACTGCCTAAGAGAGAGATTGTCGGCTGCAATTTTATACAAAGTAATTAATTTTCATCCATATCTTCTTTTACCCCTCGGGAAATGATAAATTCATGTCACTGCAAATTTACTGTTCCTGTTGTGGGAACAAAAGAATGCAAATTTCTCTGTATGACATTGGAGTCTTATGTACTCTTTTGCTATTATTTTACAGGTGACAAACCCAGGCAAGGTTCTTCCGGAAATGCTCGTGGCATCCATATATGCAATAGTACGCATTCTTTCATATGATGGGATGTCTGGGATTCCGCTGCCTTCGGAGTCTGTTGACATGCTTGCTTCAATGGTTGATTCAACTGCCATTGGGCCATCAACTAATGGAAGAGGAAAAGGAATAGGCCATAATCCTAGAAGCTTCTTAAGGTCACTTATTTTTCCAGTGAAAAATAAAATGCCAGCATTTTTTGAAGCTCAAGTGTTGAGGAGCAGCAATGCTTCATCAAGCCAAAACCAACGGCCTGCAGTTTCTTCTGTAGGCATGATGAATGTGCAGCCAAGGGTTCCAGGTCAAGGTTTAAGGGATCATCACAGTAAGCGGCAACGTCGGCAACGTGGAAATGAACCTTGACTACTTTTGTAGCCTTGATTTGGTATGAACTCGTGTATAACCAAGTTCTGTTTAGCACGAACTTGTGTATTACCCAGATACTATGATGTTGGATTAGATCTCTGTGAAAGCAAAAAAAACAAATGATATAAGGTCATTGACTCCGCTGCATTTTTAATGTATTTAAAGAATTCTTGTAATCTCGGCAGTCTATTTTGTATAGTTGTGAAGTGTTGTTTTGTGCTTTTTTATGGTTAATTTCATCTGGTCCTGATAACTTCCGAATGCAAGGTGATCTTTAGCAAGGCTGCCAACTGTTTTCTTTCCGGTGACTGGCTCATGGAATTATCCAGGCACAGGTAGGCTTGTGTTTCTTTCTGTTTAACATTTTGAGGCTTTCCTTTTGAATGTATAATCTATTTTGTGTGCTTTTTAGTGGTCAGCAATTGCTATTATGGTGATGATCTTTAAATCTGAGCTTGGGTAATATCTCTATGTGCTTTGGAACTCCAGGGTCAGGAACTGAGTTTGCAAGATTGTGTTGATTTTCTCCAAGATCTGGACAATTTATCATTTTGAGGGGACATTTCTTGTTGATTGGTTATGTAGTAGTTTAGGAAGTAGTCTCTTGGGTGAGTACGTTGAAACCAAAGCTAGGAAGGTATGCTCAACATGTATTCCATGAATAAGTAAATCAGGTTCATAGTCATTTATACGTACCCTTTAAGAAAGTAAATCAGGTTCATAGTCATGTATACATTTGTATTCAGGGTTTTTCCTTCTTGGTGCAAATGTTAATTCTGACTCTTGATGAAAGTTTTAGGCTTTGTTATTCTGGCTACAATAAATCCAGCTACGTTTAGGTGGTTGATGAGAGTTTTTACTCTAAGAAGTTGCCAGATGGAAGTTACTTCTACAAATGTTGCTTCTAGCATATGTGAATTTTTGAAAGCACACTTGTTGCAATATTGATGGCTGATGCTATAATTCATCGTAATTTTCCTGTAAATGAGGATGGAATTTGCTCCATGTTTGGAGTAGATGGATAATTCAAATTGTTAAAAGCATGCCTATTGTTTGAGTGTTTATGTTACAGTAACATGTTACAGTGTTAACTTTAAACAGTTAATTTAGTTTACATTAGAATGGATCCTTCAGTACAATGTCTTCCAAGAGTAACCAATTCAAGCTAGTTGCCTCCAAATTCACATGTATATATCGGTTTTATATGTACCCCAATTCAAACAATGGAATGAATGATCAGAAATTGAAGGCTGTATGCATGTTAACCAAGAATAACGTCCTTATATTGTATTGATGTAAATATAACTTCCGTTACAGCCTCAAGTGTTGAGTCTTTTGATGCTCTGGTGGTAATGACCGAGTAGAAAGAGTTGAAAGAACTTGAGATAGAAGCAGATACTCAACCAATCACCTAAGAGAATCTGTCTCTCTGAAAATCTTAGTGACAGACGCAAGCAAGTTTCAATAGTTACATACAGACAGCATGAGCGCAATAGTACAAAATGGGAGGATCCTGGAATTTACAGGTAACTAAACTTAATTATGTGGAGCGATTTAACTTGTGTCGCACATTGCATGCTATCATCCATCAAAATGTTACAAGGTAAGAATGATTGTTTCCTTTCTCCAGTTTGAAGGCCATATGCACAATATGTAGCACTGCTCAACCTGCAGGATAGAAATTCGCATCACAACCACGGATGGGAAGAGACAAACCAGCAAGAACACAAGAATCAGATAGATCAAAGGAAATGGTAAATTAAGTCGAGCAGCATAGCTTCAGTGAGATCGTTGAAGGTTATTATATTATTCTATAACCATGAAAAAAGCAAACCTTGCGTGAAACAGCTACAACTTTAGCCTACCAGAAGATCGAATAAGTGGACTAATTGACCATTCTCCATTTTTATTCAAACAAACAAACATAGTATTCATTGACACCTCTTTCTTTGTCACAATGATGACATGAGCTGATGAAAAGTCAAACTAATTACAAAGCCAGTCTCCGTCTTCAAATGTGATAACAGAAAAGGGAGGGAGCCGAAAACTCAGCACACTAAAATAGACTGGTCTTACCTTCCAAGAGACACACAAGAATGAAAGTATGAAAAAAAAACTTATATGAAACCATACCCGGTTAACAAAATAACAGCAAACACAAATCATCAGATGTCAACCACCCAAGATTAAAGGTCAACGCCCTCGTCAAGGCCTTTGGAGCCTATCATTACATTCGAATCTATTTGCTTATCAAATTTCTTTTTCCTTCGAGCTTCAAATTCTTGAAATCCATCCATCTACAAATTATCCCGTTTTGTCAGTAAACAGCTAATATTTGGCGTAAAAAATTACTTAGAAAGCAGAACATAACACAGTTCACCTGTTGAAACTGGTCCATTGAAATTGGATTATTATGGAGAGAAATATTCTGTAGACTTTTACATTCTCTTAAAATATTTGTAGGTATCTGCAGAATGAGAAATGCCAAGTAGTCAAGATGAAAATAAATACACATCCCATATCATCATAATTGAAGTTTGAGAAATTATCTACCTGATTCAGTTTGTTATTATCAACGCAAAGTGACTTGAGGTGAATCAGGTTGCAAATTGATGCAGGCAGTTCTTCAATCGAATTATCTGCAGACAACATGGTCCATTAAAAGAACTCAAGAGAGAAAAAGAAAGTGGCAACAAAAAGAGGAAGTGAAAACTGACGATTAGCAAACAGTGGTCACAAAATGGCATTCGCATGTGAAGGAGAGTCCATTTTTAAAATATTTTCTTTTCTTTTGTCGTTCAGCAATGGATGAACTATTGATGATGCAAAAAAGGGGTCCAAACAAAGAGGAAAGCTCAGAAAATAAGCTTCAGGACAACCATTAAATCGAATTGCAGCATTGAAAACATGGGAGTTGTAACTGTAACTATAAATCATGTGAAAGTAGGTAATAAAACTCTGATTAATGCCAAAAAAAAAAAAAAAAGGAAACCTCAATTAGGCACCTCACATGTACCACCACTATTTTACACAAAATCTATAATTCTTTTGATAAGCACGCTAGCAACTTAGGGCTAAATTGCTGAAATTGACTTGGTGATCATGTACCAATACTTACATATAAATTGTATTTTAGACAAGAGGCAGAAGACAAAGGTAAACTCAGACCAAGTGCCTCCCTTACATAAAACAATTAGCAAACAAAGCCATAACGTTATCTGTGTTCTTCATATTCATAACACGACTTAACTAATGACACTAGACATCTACAAAGTCATGTCAGACGTTACCGTTCGCTTGGAGCTCTTCAAGCGAGAAGCAACTCCCAATTGATTCTGGAAGAGATGTTAACTGGTTGCTTGACACATTCAAAAGCACCAACTGCATAGTCACAGGAGTGATGTCATCCAACTAAAGAAAAGTTTAAGGTAAAGTGCCGCTTAACATTACGAAAGATATAAAGAGTTAATCTGTACAAAAGAGCGTGGGAGAGAATTTAATCTTGTAGAGTAGCATGAGCATGACGCCAAAAAAAATAAATAAAAAAAACAACCTCATGGCAGCTAGGAATGAAAACTCTGCGAAAAACCTTTTCACAGTTTTTGGAAAGAGAGACACTTTTCATCTTATAAACGAATGGTGGAAGTCATATACCAGAAGAGCTATGATTGAACCTATATCAAATGTAACTTCACAAAGTAGCAAGCAGTTTTCTCTTAATGAGAAACGGTAAAGAACATTCTTCGTTTTAGAAAGAAGGAAATTGAGAGGCAATCTTGGGATCAGGATCACATGTGCTTTAACAGAGTTCCCAACAGATTACGTTATTCTACAGATACTCACGTGGCGCAAGCTACCTATTGTTTCAGGTAGGCTGACTAACAAATTGACTGAGATTGATAGCTGCTCAAGCTTCACCAACTGGCCCACTGAACGAACCGGAACAAGCATTAAAAAGCAATAAATAAATGATTTATCCTTTGCATTAGAAAAAACCTTTCAAAATGGATTAGCGAGACACAAGTACAGACAGATAAAACTTTTGCAGTTCTGCTCGTACGAGTGAGAAGCTTACATTCGTCGGGAAGGGTGGTAATTCGATTCCTATCAAGTGTGGCAAGTTTTAAGGACTGTAGCTTTCCAAGGGTACTTGGTAAACGCTCAACAAGGTTATCTGCTAAGATCTGAAAAGAAATGAACATTAACCTAACATCGGTGTGTCGGAATTTAGCAGAAATGAGACAACAGACATTTTATAAGAATGCTTACAACCAATTCACCAGATTTTATACTTCTTCAATCAAATATAAAATACATAACATGTATGTAGATAAAAACAAATGCACAAAAAAGCACCAGGCTCAGCCCTACTAATAGGAGGTTCAACATATCAGAAATTCAGTGCAGACTTCGTGTATACAATGATTAGATAACCTGATAAAGTGGTATGAGTTAGGCTACCAGGAATAGAAACTCAGTACCACGATGTAATCCAGCAACTAAGGTAGACTCAAGTTTGCAAAATGAATTTCATGCAAGAGTTTAATTCTTTTGGTATACGGATTTAATTCTTTTGGTAAGACAAGCAGCTCTATTTGCATTCTAATGCTGCACCTAATTGCAAAGGAGGAACCTATCTTTTGAAACTGCATAAATAAAGTAACAAAAAAAAAAAAAATTAAAAATAGCAACTAACAAGATGCAAAGTACTTGAACATACATTCTATGCTTTGCATGCAAGTTCCATAATATAATTCTCACGTTACATGCCTACTTTAGGAGGAAAGGACAGTGTTACCATAAGAAGATTTTCTCTCTCTCTCTCTCTCTTTTTCTTTTAAGAGGCCAGTTAATGCAAATTATAATATCAAGTTGCTTACCAAGCGCTGCAAATTGCTCAATTTGCTGACTGCCACTGGAATATCAACTGCAAGAATAGATATAAAGAACAAGAATCAGATCAAGAAACTAAACCAAACCGAGCTTAAAGATATCTATGAACATCTGATCCATGCGACACAGAGCATTTGTTAGAGAGAAAACCACCATGAACTTTCATAAACTCACATCCAAAGACAACTACCATAAACTTTCATACCTGGAATACACAAATATAACTTAACGAGAGAAAACCAATGAACCATAATTCTTAGGACTCCATTTTGTGTTAGTCATAGTAAACATGCTATTTTGAGCAACAAGACATTGAGGACGCTAGGGGAAAAAGACCAAAAAGAATTTGAAAAAAAAAACAAACAAAGAAGAAACCAGTAAATGCAGTAGTTTAGAGACTTAGAAAGTATTACCTAATCTATTGTGCGTTAAATCAAGGGTGCGTACGGTCCTGTCAAGGTCAAGAATTTCATCTGGAAATGTCTGCTCAAGATATCAATATATTAGCTCAATTTCAAGAAATGCATCAGTCCAGATGAAACATGACCAGGAAAAAGCAATAGAGGTTAAGCAAACCACAAAAGAGATTAAATCAGAAGAACGGTGCCCAACAGATGAATATTTGCTATATATATTATGTAGTAGTGCAATACCAGCGCTTAAAGGTACCTCCGTCGTAGTTTTTGATGTTTTAGTTATATCTAATCTTGCTATTTTAAAACATGCAAGTAACGTATAAAGCACGTAATCAACGAAACGTACTAAAATACGACAAATTTAGTATCTTTCAAGAGAGAAGCGGTAGGGATCTGTTGCTTTTGAGTTAGCAGGTTGAATCTAAAGCTTTACTACAACAAACATGCGCTGATAACCAAAGACAGTTAACCATGCCAAAGAAAAGGTGAGAGTACAGCTGAAATGTTCCATTACATCTTCTTCCCAGAACTCCTTTTTGTAAGGAACTAATACATTCCTCTCAGCATCACAAAAACTATGGGCTGTCAGAAAATTTGTTCGTTGTATAATGAGTTTAAAATTTTTTTATTCTTCTGTTCAAGAATCTCAAATAAGCTGGTTTCAACCAGAAGGAGGTTGGGGATTCTCAAATAAGCTCAACTGAATTTTTGAAAATTATCCATTACCATGTAGGAAACTTACACTGCCTCCTCTATGCTGACCTAGAAACCTTTTCTTGCTTTCTGTAAACACTTATGATTCCCTTTGTTAAACCCTCATAATTCGTAATAACTCTTCAGATGTCAGACATGAGAGTTCGGTAGAATAAGACATTTTCTTTAAGTCTCCACAAGTTAATTTGTGGAAAGAATATCAAAACGGCAAAAAATGGTTATAGTAGTCTGCCTACTAATCACATTACCAAATCAAGGTTCCGCCTAAATCCCCATAAGTCAACTAAAATGAAACAACTTCCAGCATTGTGGAAGCTATAGAGCACACACCGATTTGAACCTGGTCTCACTGACTTCCAATTTTTCCACAATTTCCATTAATCAGTCCCACCTTCCATTCGACATACTCAGGAAATAAAAACAGAGGACAAAGAAACCAGATCAAAGTGTTGTAAGACTACGTCTTTTAAGCTTATTTCAGGATAATCCCGTGTACTGAATTTATGCTAAGAGAGAAGCAGGTAACCAACTTTGGACATCCTTAACAAAGCCCCTTCCCTTTCCATTTTCCAGTTTCATTATCAAAACACAAACGAAGTCACAACATGGCTCCTATACAGTCAAATTTAGTTTGATTAACAACAAAAAACATAACATCTTTACTACTGGAAATGCGGTAAACAATGTATAAAATTGAATACGACATCACGCGACAACTTCAAAAAAAATAGGTCTTTATAACAAGTGATTAAAATAAATAAAATTGCACCAGCAGATGCATTTGAAGCTGAAAATCAGACCCTTTTCCCAGCTCAAAGCTCTGATCATTCACACAGCAACAGAATCCACCAAAAACCAATAACCATTTACATGTGATCGAATATTCACAAAGAATAACTGGCATGCAGGCACCAATTCGAAAAAAAAAAAATTTAACAGGAAAAAAGACCTTCAATTTGGAATCCCTTAAGGCAACAATGCCAGTAGAACGCCACCGGGCAACGCGGCTAGCTTTAGAATTCGCATTTTTACTGCTAACGCATCCCATCACCACCAAAATGAAAAAGAAAAACAAAAACCTTTATGGGTTTTGTTAATTCTTTTTCAAAAGGGACAACAAAACTCACCCGGGTTTTTTGTGATCAGATAGGGATGAAGAATTTGGTGATTGGGACACGTTAGATTCGGTGAATTTTGTTTTAGCACATAAAAGTGGCAAACGGGCATTAAATACGGAAGGAAGGATAGAGAGGTGATGAAAGAAGAACCGAATTCAGAACTCAGAAATCGGGGAATGACATCAGAGAAGACTTTTTTTTTTTTTCGAAGCTGAAATGATGAATGAAACCGCGTTTTTTCGGTGGACAATTCAACGGTGGAGATATCATCGGCAACACCGAAGTGAACAGATAATGTGATTCTTTAATTAACTTCGGAGTGCTAATATTTTTTTCTTTAATAAAATCTTCGTGTTTTTTTATTATTTTTTTTAACTTCATGTTTCATGTTTTTTTTTTTTAAATTTTCATTTTATTAATATAAATAATTAATATTTTTTATAAAAAAATTCCACTGGTCCGTGTTTAATTAGTTTTCAACATATACATCAAATGTTTTGAAACCGTTATCTTTAATTACCTCTTCAATGTAGAGAATAAACAAACTTGATGAAAGAAGGAATGTGATATGTTTTGATGTGTTACTTAACCAAATAAAAAATCAACAAAATGATCAAAATTAAACCCTTTGTAACAAAAGGGAAAAATTGAATATTCCAAAGTCTTATAAGTGATTTTCACATTGAAAAGATTATTTAGTAAATTGTCTCTAAAATTTGGGTGAGGATCACCTGTTATAATTTACTGTGCCAATTCTTGTTGCATTACATAAGAAACAGACACGTGTCGCAAGAAATGGGAGACTAATTTTTCAGTAACTCTTCAAAAGTCGAACTTATTAACTTTCAGTAATTCTCTATATCTTCTTTTTCCATCTTTTCTCCTCCTTTTTTCCGGCAACTCTTCTCTATTCTCTCCATATTTAGAATTTGTGATGTATTTTTTTTTTTTGGTTACAAAATTAGTGATTTCAGATTCAACAAGCACCATCAGAGTCTAACAGTGATCAAACTCCCAAAAAGTTTATTTTCACATATTAAACACATGCATCATTAGATCAGAAATCCCAATTAAGGAAAAATGAGGATACTAAATTAATCAGAAAACAAAATAATAAGAAGATAACATCATAAAATTAAAATCGCTTTTTCAAAAAAATTAGTGATTTTATCAAGAAAACAAAACATAATTTGCTCAAAATTTTCATAAAAATCAGTTTTTGCATAAAGCGACATAGAGTTAGAAAGAAAGTTCTTACGAAAAAGAAAATCCAAATAGTGCTAATAGAATATCAATACCTCTTTCCAACCAAACAAATACAACCATAAGCTTTTGGTACAAATTCATATGAAAAGGAAGGGAGGGTTACTGGGTAGTGTTCATTTGTATTAAATTTCAACTTTTACCTTTTTGATTAATGATTTCTTCACTTTTCTCCTACTCAATATTTACCATCCTCCACTACCTCGCTGTGGCGCCGTCTACATCGTCCTCTTTGACATGGCCCAAATATTAAGTAAATTTGGCCCAATAACTTTGGTGGACTTGGGCCCATTTGGAAGTATTGGGTCAAGCCCAATATCCGAAAACTTCTAGAATGTCCTAAAATTATCTAAAAATTTTTAGAATATTAGAGAATAGGAGTAGAATCATATAGTATTGTCTAGAGTGTTGTGGAGATTTCTAGAACATTATAGACTAGTGGAGGAAGTTATAGGAATTCTCTAGATTTAGGATTTTTAATACTTTACGTAAAATTTTCTAGAACTTTAAGGGATTGGGGTTGCCAACTATAAATACCTCCAAGCACCATATTGTAAACCATGAAGAATTCAAGGTGTTGAATTCTAGTTCACAAGTTCTCTCAACCTCTCTTTGAGTCCTCATTCTTTCCTCCTCCTTTTCTTTAAACCTTCAATTTTCCAACTTAATTCTTTTCAAGAATTTGGAGAGTTTTAAGGGTGAGGCTGAGCTAACATTCTTCATTAGGGGTCTAGAGTGCTAGTACCGCATGGTTTTAACTTATAAAATAGTTAGCCCGTGACAATTGGTATCAGAGCTTCGGCTCGATACATGCGCTTCCGCTTGTTATTAAATTTTGTGCATCATGTCTAGTCCATTGGAGGTTGTTCAAGGTGTGAAGGTTGAGGGTGGTGATCATGTTTCTCGTGAGCCAGAGAGGACTTATTCTCGAAGGGGAACCCATAAGGAGAAGTCCGTTGCTCGTGAGCCGATGGTCGACTTTGAGAAACGGTTTGCCGAGGTAGAGTTGGTCGTGACCGACCATTGTGATCGTTGGGAAGAACATGCTTCCACGGTGGAAATTATCTCTAAGGAATGCATGGAGCAATTCAAGGGTGAGGTTCAAAAGATCATGCAACAAATGCGTGAAGAGATGCTTGAGGTAATCAACAAGGTGTTTTAGAGGGTCACCAAGGCTTGCAAGGAAAATGCAGCCAAGTTCACCACGCTCCAAGGTGATGTGCTCAAACTCAGGGGAGAGTTTGAGACTTATCGGGTACAAACGGAGCAACTCAAGGTACGAGTGGATGCTCTATGTGCTCAAGGAATGATCGGAGTTAGAGGGCCAGATCCAATGGTCGATGCACCAAAACCAGATGTTTATGCTAGTAGCCGCAAGGCAAGGGGTGTAGAGAATTTTCTCTACGGACTTGAGAGGTACTTTAGCGCTGTGGGCTTGACGGATGATTCGGTAAGACTCTATCAAGCCTCTTGTTATTTAAAAGATAGTGCTCTAAGAAGCACCAGTTTTCTCAACTTGGGAAGGATTTTAGGAGAAATTAAAGAAACAATTTCTCCCAGCTGATGCTGAAGTTGAAGTTCGGGCCAAACTTCATCGCTAACACCATAAGAAGGGCCACATAAGGGAATATGTGCAAGAATTCTCTGACCTTATACTTGAAATTCCGGATCTCTCGCCTAAACAAGCTTTCTTTACGTTTATGGACGGCCTTAATCGTTGGGCTAAACTAGAGCTACAGCGGAGGGATGTTCGAGATATTCAACAAGCTATGAGAGTCGGAGAATCTTTTGTGGAGTTTGAAAATAAGATTTACGATAAAGCCATGGGTGAGAAATGTTTCAATGACACAGGTGGAGAAAACAACACGACATCTTATCCGAAATCATTTGAAGGAGCAAAAATCGCCTCCAAATTGAAGTCAAAAGTAGAGAAAACCAAAAAATTTGAAGGTTGCTTTCTATGTGGAGGGTCTCACTTGGTTCGTGACTGCCCATCTCGTAGTAAACTCGCCGCCATAGCTCAAAACTTCCATGATGATAAGTTGGGACACAGGGCATCAGGGACGATGCCCCATTCAGGTGGGAGAGAGTGACACGGCCAAAATATTAAGTAAATTTGGCCCAATAACTTTGGTGGACTTGGGTCCATTTGGAAGTATTGGGTCAAACCCAATATCCAAAAACTTCTAGAATGTCCTAAAATTATCTACAGGTTTGTAGAATATTAGAGAATAGGAGTAGAATCATGTAGTATTGTGTAGAATGTTGTGGAGATTTCTAGAACATTATAGACTGGTGGAGGAAGTTATAGGAATTCTCTAGATTTATGATTTTTAATACTTTATGTAGAATTTTCGAGAACTTTAAGGGCTTGGGGTTGCCAACTATAAATACCTCCAAGCCCCATATTGTAAACCATGAAGAATTCAAGATGTTGAATTCTAGTTCACAAGTTCTCTCAACCTCTCTTTGAGTCCTCATTCTTTCCTCCTCCTTTTCTTTAAATCTTCAACTTTCCAACTTAATTCTTTTTAAGAATTTGGAGAGTTTTAAGGGTGAGGCTGAGCTAGCATTCTTCATTAGAGGTCTAAAGTGCTAGTACCGCACGGTTTTAACTTATAAAATAGTTAGCCCGTGACATCTTCATCAACATCATCATCACCCGTTCATGATGCAGCCGGGTCAAAATTGCAGAGGAAAGCCATCAAGGCATAGGTACAAGAAAAGACAATCGGTTCTTACTTTCTTGTCCGACAAATGTAGATCTAATAATGTGAACGGAGATAGAGATCTGGTTTTTAATTTGTTCTCTTCTTCAGTTCTTTGTTCTTTATGTTGATCGGGTTTGTTTAATCCGCTCAAAAATTAACGTGAATGTTGGAGTTTGACGGAAGAAGAGACTGACTAGACTAGAAGAAATAAGTTGGACACGTGTTGACTTCTTATGCAGTGTAATAGGAATTGGCATAGGAAGTTAGAACATGAAATCCTCTTTAACTACAGTTTTAATGGTAAAAAAATTATGAGATGAATGATTATAATTATGCTGACTAGATGGTTCAGTCAATGATTCAATACGTTGGATTGTACCATTGCATAAAACCTTCATAAACTTTGAAATTAATCTATACTTTCTTCTTTTTTTCTTTTTCTTTTTACCTTGTCTGTGTTATTATTATATGGGGGGGGGGGGGTTCAGATAGTTGTCTCAATTTTTTTGTGTGTTAGCAAAGTAAATAAATGAATATATATTGAAAATGTGAGAAATTTTATGGGAATGTAAATATATTAGATTGAACTAGAAAATTATTGGACAATTTCATCATAAGTCATCAATCAATTTTGTTCCCACCACAGGTACTTGATTAATCCAAAAATCCACCCAAGGTTATTCTATTAATTTTTGGCGTTAAATCATGATGGAAAGCTATTTTCACTTACAAAGCATGTGAGTTGGGTTCAGGAATAATTTTATCACTTTGTATACTGTATAACTTTTTTAAATTTTTTTGGGATTACAATTCTTTTTATTATACTTATTGACTTGTATATGTTGTTATGTGTCTATTTACTGAATTTTAAAAAATAATTTACCTTTATTGACTTGTATATGTTGTTATGTGTGTATTTACTGAATTTTAAAAAATAATTTACCTTTTGTACTTCAACTTCTATGGCATAAAAAATATATATATACAAAAAACTCGATTTTAAAGGATACATGCATTTATCCATGTCATGAATCCATGATTACTTATATAGTTTAGCCATCAGAAAATTAAGAATAATAATTACTAAAAAAATTGAAAGTGGTGAAAGGAAAATTAATAGAAATTCAACATTGTGGATTAATTAAGTTAGCACCTTTTCTATTTCAAATTATTATCTACGTTTTATGTTATTTTTATTACAAGGAACAACAATCAAATCCTTTATCGATATGGTGCGATCCATTGATGATTCGCGACCAGAAATATCAATTCGCCCCACTTTTATAGCCTCTACTGCAATACACCAGAGGAAATTCGTTAATTTAGAGCAACAAGGGACAAGAGGACTGATAGCCAAGATGCAAATCTGCACTAGGAAGCACTGTAATTAACTTGAAAATGGAACTAATGATTTCAGCAAAAGCCTAGCTTACAAATAATCACATCAAACCACAAACAGACTCGTCCAAAAGGTCAAACATACAGAAGCTTAGCCAATAGTACTGAGTAGATTGTCTAAATGATCAATGAAACTAGTTTGCGAAATTGCTGACGAGAAGTCAAAAAATATACAGGCAGCTCTATCCTGACAGAAGATCAAGAAACGACTATTGGTTCAGGGAGATTTCTATCTTATGCAGAGAAATGATGATTCATGGAATTCTTTTTCACACCGAGACTACAAGATCCAGTTAAAAGGCCGTGCACCAGTTTATCAGAATCAAAGGTAAAGAAAATCACACTAGTGTCAATTCGATTTAACCATATCAATAACAAAACACCACATAATGGAAAAGTAATCAATCCATGTATAAGTGATATCTCACCCTGGGGTTAAAAGAAATCCCAAAAAATCATTTCCATTTAAACTGATTACATGCTTTTACCTAAAACTATAATATCCCAACTATAATATCCAGCAAACGTTTAATAGCTGATGTAGCCATCGGATGCCTCGTTCTTGAACCCTAATAAGTAACCGTCGTAGATCCGTTTATTCTATGAATATCCAGAAATACAACCCTCCTAAATCTGTTGATTCTTTTAATACCTGGAAATAAGGACTAAAGTTTAACACACCTCGGTATTTTCTAAGATGAACTCCCAAGTTTTTTTTTTATAAAAATCAACAATCAACGTACGAAGAAGCGGCCAAAGGGCTTCAATAGATAAGAACTTATTTACTTTACCCTAATTACAAATAACAAAATTACTTACATATATAAATAATAAAACCCTGATTTACTTTAATTCTTCGCCTCCATGATTCTCCCGTGGTGAGAAAAACTCATTCTCGAGGTTAATAGTAGCTTTGCCATGATCAAATGGGAACCCAGCAAGAAACTTCCATAGGCAGGTGCATGATCTCGATTTCAACCCACCAAAAAAAAACATCAGCACGTCCCATATTGTCATCCCCTTCAAATGAAATGAAAATGCAGAATTAATAATAAATGCATAACCAGGGGCTTCACATCCAAGTTCCATTGCCGAAAGATGAGGATGATGAAGAAAATTATGCCCAAAAGGACCAAGAACGTGATGTTCTCCCTGACAAAGCAAATGGGTAGCACCGAAGATAATAGGAACCCAAGCAAAGAGCTTAGACCAAGTGAGCTTAGAACAAATGTATACCTCCAAAAGGCGACTAAATCGAACAAAAGTGTAGGTGTCCGCAACTTCATGTACAGGGGAGAAAAACCAGTGACCAATGAGCGGTTGTTACCCTAATCGTCATAATTAGCAAGCTCCAGGATGTCATTGCCTCTAAAATAGAATGCATCATTTTCCGCTTCATTAGTATTAACAAATGAACAAAAAGAATGGTGACCAACAACATCAAAGATATCGATTGAACGTGGGGAAAAATCAACCTCGGACAACTTTCTCCAACCTTCGCCATCGGGATATATATATCAAACTTTGGTGGTTTTGTCCAATTGATATCCCGCTCCCATTGGTCATGATCATATTCAAGAGCAAAAATATCGTGACCAAAAGCAGACTCACATTTATTATCATTCTAAGTCAAGAAACGCTCATCAAGTAGTCGTTCCCATCTTAACCGAAAAGTCTCGATTCCATCTCTCACCTGTTGCCTGGAGTAAAGCACAAGCTCATCTTGTACTTCAACTAGGCGTTGCACCAGATGCTGTTGTTGTTGCCGTTGCTTCTTGTGGCGGTGATTGGGGAGTCGTTGTGACGCATTCTTGTGCACGGTCTGCTTCGCCGCCTATCTTCTTTAGCCAAAATTTTGGGACAATGTTGTTGCTTAATGACATAATCTTGTTGACAATGGTGCGGCTTTGACTTTGTCTGTATTGGTTTTCTTGGCCGGCTATGTTGCTGAATAGGATTGATAGACAATTGATAATCCCTCGCCAATAGAGTTTAAAGAGCTACTAAGACTGACTAAATGAAAGTTTTGTAGACAATTTGCATCTGGGGGGGCATCCCAATTAAATAAAAAAAATATTTAATAAATAAAAACTTTAAAAATCCAAATAGGAAGCAAAATCGTGTCCAATACGAAAACCTATTATGGACCACACAATGTGGCAGAAACAGGTGTGCGCACACCACTAATCGATCACGAACAATGTTACAAAAAATGTTATTAGATCAATTGAGCAAGATAATATACTCCAGCAGCCGTCCAAATGCCAACAGTATAATACTTGAATTGATAATATAACTTGATTAATATTGCCCGTATTATAGTAAATATGTATTTACGATAGTAATTGTGAATTAGGGTTTACCTTATGTGTGTGTGTATATATATATATATATATATATATATATATGCCTTGTATGATTCAATTAATGAAGAGAGATTTCCATTATTTCTAACTTGGTACAGAGCTAGGATACCTCTCTTTTTTTATTTTCTGCTGGTGGCCGCCTCCCAACTTCTTGGAGTCTCGGTTTTCTATCATCTTCTCCAACCCTCCTCCCTCCCTGCTGTTGCAACTCCAACTTTGACCTGCTCGGAGCTTCGTTTTTTCTGCTTCCTCTCGGGCTTGTCTATCTTTCTTCCTTTGCTGCTGTGTCTATTCTCTTCCCCCTCTGTTCATCATGTCTGAAGTATCTTCAACCGTGCCGCCTAATTCTCAGTCGGCGAACAACTCCACTGCCGCGCCATCACTCAATCTCCAGCTGAGTCTTCAACCCATGAACCACTCTTTCACGGTCAAGCTTCAATCAAGGGCCAATTATCCAGTGTGGAGATTGCAGATTACTCCGCTGCTTAATATGTTCAAGCTTTTCGGCATTGTCGACGGTTTCGAACCAGCCTCGCCGCATTTCCTCCCTCCTGCCAGTGAAGCGCCATCTCAACCAAACCATGCCTTCGATGTGTGGCATCAGAAGGACCAGATGGTCTTCTCCTGGATCCTCTTCTTTGTCACTGACGAAATCTTCCCCGTGATTCAGGGAGCCACGACTTCAGCAGCTGCGTGGTCTGCAATCCAAAAGGGATACGGGACTCTTTCCTACACCCATCAGACTCCATTGATGCTTGAATTCCATACCCTTCAGAAAGGAGATCAATCCATGTCTTCTCTTCTTCATTAAGCCAAGGGAACTATCGATTCCCTGAATCTTACTGGTCATCAAATTTCGGTGGCTGAATTCAACGCCATTATTTTTCGCAAACTTGGGAGTGAATTTAATGGCACCCTTGCAATAGCGAGAAGCACATCCCTCTTTTCAAGATTTGTTGGGTCAATAGGTGTCTTATGAAGTTCTCCTTCATGCCCAGCAACCGGTTTCTTCACCGACGGCCTTGCTTGTGCAATATTCGCCACCCGGCGCGTAGCCACCGGCCTCTTGTGGTGGTCGCCGCTCTCCTTTTGGTGCTCGTGGTGGTGGTCGTCGTGACTATTCTTTTCTGTCTCGCAGTGAAACTTGTCAACTTTGTGGCATTTTGAATCACACTACTGCTACTTGTCGCCACTGGTTTGACTCTAGTATTGTCTCTCGGCCACCTCAGCCATCCGCAGCTTACACTCAGTTTGTGTCTCCATCCCAGAACGCACCAAGGTTGTTGCCTCCTCCTTATCCGGATTTCACTATGGCTTCTCCATCTCACATGGTTCAGGCTGCCTCTCCTTCTACTCCTCGGCATCCGGATACTGGTGCTACCGCTCATACGACTCCGAACTTGTCACCGCTGAGCATCTCTAATGACTACCATGGTATGGATCATCTTCTTGTTGGTAATGGTGCTACTTTACCTATTAAGTATGTTGGTCAATCTGTTTCGCCAACCATTTCCCGTCCTTTATATTTAAATAGTGTCTTGCATGCTCCTGCTCTTACTAAACCACTCTAATCTGTTCAAAAGTTTGCCACACTGTTTTGTTTAAATTTTATTGTTATTCCTGTTGTGTGAAGGATCTCTCAACCAAGGAACTGTTCCTCCGAGGTCGGGTTGACATTGGTCTCTACCGCTTGGACCTTCCTGGTCGTGGTTCCTTATCTCCAGCCACTTATCTTATTTCTCTAGGTCAATGGGATGCTCGTTTAGAGCACCTTAATAATGTATTCTTCGTACCTTAGTTAGGCAGTTTTAGCTTCCCCATTCTTCTTTGTCCACGTCCATTGCTAAAGTGAGGCGTGTTGCTTAGGGAAGTTGCATCGAGTCAGTCGGTCTTCTACATTTCATCGTTGTGCTAAACCTCTTGATTTAATTCATGCTGATGTTTGGGGACCTGTCCCTCTCTTGTCTATTGATGGCTATCGCTATTTTGTGCTTTTTGTTGATGATTTCTCATTATTTACATGGCTCTATCCTATCAAAAATAAAATTGATGTTCCTCATATCTTCAAGCATTTTAAAAATTTAGTTGAAAATCAGTTTGGCACCACCATTAAAAGTGTCAACTCTAATTGGGGTGGTAAATTCCGTCTCTTGAATTCGTTTTTCAAAGATGTTGGTATTGTCCATCGTATTGCTTGTCCTCATACTCATGAGCAAAATGGTACTGCTGAGAGGAAAATTTGTCACATTATTGAGGTGAATTTTCACTTTGTCCGTGATCATGTTCGTCAGAAGTTTGTTTCGATTCACTCCTTGTTTGTTGTTGATCAGGTTGCTGATATTCTTACCAAGTTTTTATCCAAGGATTTATTTTTTCATTTTCGAGAGAAATTTCAGCTTGTTGCTTCTTCGCCATCAGTTTGAGGAGGCGTATTGTAGTAAATATGTATTAAAGATAGTAATTGTGGATTATTGTTTATCTTATGTATATGCCTTGTACGTGTATGATTCAATCAATGAAGAGAGATCTCTATTATTTCTAACTACCCAAATCTTCGGTCGGCTAAATGCACCAATGCTTGAGCAAAATAAAACCCAATAGACAGACACAAACTAACATAAGTAGACCTAATCGTAAGTAATATAATTGCCAAATTCCCACCAATTTTTGCCAGCCGATCCACAAATCAAAACCTATAAGGTAAATCCTAACAACGATATACGCCAATACGGTGAAAAATAACCAGATCACTCAAATATAAAAAAGACACTAACAAAAGATGCGAAGATATCCGAAGGTTACCAACTGAACCACCACGAACGAACTCGTCTCCAATGCCAATTGATGTAGACAGCGGATGCCTCGATCTTGAACCCTAACAAGTAACTGTCGTACATCCATTAATTCTGTGAATACCCGATATACAATCCTCCTAAATCCGTGGATTATGAGAATACCCAGAAATATGGACTAAAGTTTAACATACCTTGGGATTTTCTGAGATGAACTCTCAAGTTTTTTATAAAAATCAACAATCAACGTACAAAGAAGCAGCCAAAGGCCTTAAATAGAGAAGACACAAATTCAAGCCTAATTACAAATAACAAAATTACTAATATATCTAACTAATTAACCCTAATTTACTTTAATTCTACGCCTCCATCAATAGCTCTAAAAATATAATTGATGAGCAAGAAATGTTTGGATGAACTTTTATTATAATAGGGTATTATATGATGGTTTGTAGTTGTAACTAAATGCGAGGATTTAAATTCTGAAAACAAAGGACAATATATAGTAGGTAGTAGTACTAAAATGGAGCAATTAAAACGGATAGTGATGATGGGTTGTTGCTGGTATAGTAAATGAGATTGTTGTGTTCTTGGGAGCATTTGAAATTCTGAAAACAAAATGAAAATATACAGTTACTGTGATATTGGAGTAAATTAGCATTTACTACGCGTTTATAATTTCAAGTTTTGATTGAATGGTTTCCTCTATTCTGTATCTAACTACAAATGGATCAATTGTCGATAAAGTTCATTGGATGTTTACTTATTAATTTTCAAATAAAAACAGTTATCGAATATTTAGACGTAGTTAGTTTTAAAAAAATTTAAATTTTAATATTTTTTGTAGCCTATAAACATTCATTACTATACCTAACGCAAAATGGTAAATCAAGATGAAACCAATATTGAAAATATACATAGAGCTGATGGAGATGAGAAGATATATACATTTTAATGAAAATGATTGTCTAGGAAATTAAACTTTAACTTAGGAAAAGATGCATGCATGGACTTCCACTTAGGCAGGTCCACCATTTTAGAACTGGCGGTTTTGGTTCTAAAACCGGCGGTTCTAAAGCCACGATGATGGGAACCAAAACTGAACCTTGAGACTGCGGTTTCGGTTCTGGTTTTGGAATCGCTAGTTTCGGTTTGGTTACGATTCGGTTTTGGTTCTAACATGTGACGGTTTTTCATGTGAGTTTTATGTTGAGTTTTGAAACCAAAAGTTTAGATTTCCATTTAAATTTTATTTGGTGTCGGTTCTCATGCAATTTTATGAAGAATTTTATAATATTAAATTATTAAGACACATTTTTAAATGAAATATCCTATAGAACGTAGAGAATTAAATTAAATTACAAATGTATAAAAAATCTTTTAGAAAATTCTTGTTAACCTATAATGTAGTATCAATTACCAATGACACTATTTCTCATCTTTGGATCAACTTATTCTTTTCATTGAAAATAATAATTAATCATTGTTTACAGAATTAGACACAAGATATGTCAAACACATACATGTATTTACAATTTTTTAATTTTTTTTTTATAAAATTAGTATTAAACAATAGTTTAGTACGAACCGCCGGTTCCCGGTTTCTGAAAAAATAGAACCATAACCAAACTTTCATCAAATGGTTCGGTTATGATTCTTGAAACTGTCAATTATGGTTAGGGTTATGAAACCATAACCGTTGGTTAGGTTTCAGTTCAAACTGAA